TTCCTCTCCAATTTTATGTTTGGTTAATTTTTATGGAGCTTTTTGACGATACCCTCGAAAAGAATTCAAGCTATGTTGTTCCTTTGCCACATTGTCTTTGTTATGGCATTCATTTATTATTGCTTCAGTCACAGCATCTTTTCAAATTTGTTTTTGATTTCCTTGTTATTTGATAGCATGGTAAGTTGTATTTGAAATCTTCAATTGTCTGTCTACAGGTCCAATAGCAACAGTGGGGGTCTGACTATCACCAGTCTGCTGAAAGAGAAGGAAGGGTCAGAGACGGCAAAATTCACTGTAGACGAGCTTTGTCTAATTTGTAGCATCCTTAGTACAGCAGAGTACTGCTTGGCCACAACACAACAGGCAAGCACCAGAAATGACATATTATGTTTGACCTGTGTTTATTTGTTTTATTTGTGTTTATGTGTTTTGTTTTGTGTGTGTTTTTGCAAAGTTGTGGCATTTCATTAATGTTTAGAAATAATATTGTACATTAACAACTAATTACAATGTATGTTCTAGCTGGAGGAGAAACTCAAGGAGAAGGTAGACAAGCCTCTTGTGGAGAGGATTAATTTGACTGGTGAAATGGACACATTCAGCACGTAAGATAGCATGCTATTAGCTAAGACTATAATACTTTTTGTACTTCCTAATATACTTGTTGTTTTGTTAGTGTCATCTCAAACAGTATTCAACTACTGGTTCAAGATCTTGATGCTGCCTGTGATCCTGCACTTACTGCTATGAGCAAAGTAAGTTGATTCATTGTTTTTTTTTTAAATACATTTTAAAGTTGCAAAAATAAAAATCTTCCTAGATGCCATGGCAAAGTGTGGAGCACGTAGGAGACCAGAGTCCTTACGTAACATCCATCATCATGCACATTAAACAGAACGTGCCCATCATCAGAGACAACCTTGCGTCCACGCGCAAGTACTTCACTCAATTCTGCATTAAATTTACCAAGTAAGTCCTCACACAAACAGCTTCCTATGGTGTTTGCTATGTAATGATGATTAATACATTTCTCCATTAGCTCTTTCATTCCCAAATTCATCAACCACCTCTTCAGATGTAAGCCTATCAGCATGGTGGGGGCTGAACAGGTAAACAGTTTATTTATTCACTTACATTTGTGAATAACATTAGCAAAGTATGGTCACTTTTTGTTGTTAATTGTTTTGTTCTGTGTATTTAAGCTCCTTCTGGACACCCACTCACTGAAGACAGTGCTGTTAGATCTTCCTTCCATAGGGTCACAGGTGCTCCGTAAGGCCCCTGCCAGTTACACAAAGATAGTAGTGAAAGGAATGACAAGGGCTGAGATGATCCTTAAGGTGAGCACCACAGAAAGGATTTAAAGGGGGTATATCAGGTCTGTTGATACTTGGAGCACTTGAGCACAATAGATTCTGGAAAAATGTAAACTTTGTTCTCAAAGAAAAGTTTTCCTACTGAAAGGTAGATTTACTTTAACCTAAACATATTATCACAGTCACTCTAACTTTATGGAATACTTGAGGTTTTTTATGACATTTAACTTGTGTGGGTACTTTGCTGGCTGCTTTTACAACCACAACCCCAGTCTGGTGCCTTTTAAGGTTTCAAACTACAGATACTACAAAATGTTGGTATGTGTTTGAAGGGGCTCTCTTTATTTCTCTATTGCCATTTAAAAGTGATGTTAAAAGATCTTTTGACCTTGGTACTTGTCTAATACATGACCAAAAATATCTTGGCACAATCTTCCACCAACTGCCTTTTCCAAGCAATGAGGCGCTAGTCTAATATGAAACAATAGTGAGAAGAATGATCTCTGTATTATGTTTGTGGTCAGACTGCAGAGCCAGAGATAAATATCTTGAGTTGAGCAGATTTTCTCCTCATGGTTTATTTTAGTCTGAAGAACTCTTTAATTGTCTCTTTAGCCCTTCTCACTTCTCAATAGCACTTTATGAGGATGTTTCCATAAACAAACCTAACTTGCATGAGATAGGGAGTAAATGGAGCAAATGGAGCCTGTGTTCATTGGTTTAATTAGTGCAAGTTAATATGGCACACACATGCATTTATTTACACAGTATGGGGCTGACCCGGAGCCAGTGGGGAGGTCTTTGACTATATCCATGCACCCCCTGATCCCCCTGCCCCAAACATTTATCCAAGCACTTATTAGATCATGTTATGAGTAGATTAAATGATAAAGGCACAGGCTTAAAACTGTCCTTGGTCCAGAATAACCTCTGGCCCTATAGAACACTGGTATGTAGCAGCTACCTCTCCCTCCCTAATCAACAGTCTCTTGGGAGTAAAGAAATGTGTAAACAAAACCACACAGTGCATGTTTGCATGTCCCTTGATTTCCCAGAGTGCTTCATTCTCCCCTGAATGTTTCCTGTCTGTCGTAAAATTGGTCTTGAAACAGCCAGTGGGTGCTGCCACTCGTTGAGAGCTGTGACTTAAAACTGCAAAACAAAGTTACTAAAAACTGCAGCACAAAGTCGGCCAGTGTTTGTGGCCTAATGTTTTTTTGTTTTGTTTTGTTTTATTTATACATTTAATTTTCCTTTTTAACTTTTCTACTGGGATAAAACCGCTGACTTATAAGTATTTCCATTCATCTGCACTTATAAAGTGCAGTGCTCATTACAAGAACAGGAACATATATTCCTTTAGGGTTTAGCCCACGTCTTTCTGTTAAATGTATGAAAATGTGTTCTGTAATATTGACAGAACTGTTTGAAGAAATTAAAAGTGATGTGGCTGCTCTGATATCTGTGACATCTTTTAATCCCACAATACTTTAATCTGTATCCATCCTGTTATCTTGTTCCCTGTGTCTGCCCTTGTTTGGCTTAATTGCCCCTCCCTATTTTGACACGTATTCCCTCTCTATTTCCCATTTTCATTCTTAAAGACCCGCTCCCCCTTCGCCTTTTACGAGGTCCCCAAAGGCCTTTCCTTGGCTCAGCTCCAGGACAGTTGCTAAGTAAATCACTCAGTCAGCAGGCCTGTAAGAAAGCAAAGAATTCCACACAATCCACACTTCCCATGCCTGCTTCCTATGCTGCCCATTTGTCCTTACACGGTACCCACTTTTATGTCAACCAGGACAACAAGGACAATATTCAACGTGTTTGTGAGCTTTGATTGCGTTTTTAAAATAGAATAGGAAAATGCTTAAAGAGCTGGTATTCCTTCTTTGTGAAATGGGTGGTGTAGGTCTGTCAGCCATGTGTTTGTCTGTAGAGGCAGCAAGAAGGCCTTTTGGTTCCACGTTTTCCATCCATGTGTTTCTGTTGTTAAATGAGTGAATTCACATTAACACCAAAGTATTCATTGTAAGATAATGCTGAAATTTGACGTTGTATATATTACTAATGGCATGCTCTGTATATTAATAATTTGAGGTGGGACAAGACACAATTTCCATGAGATGAGATGAGACACAAGATTGGGTCCACGAGAATGAGACAAGATGAGATTTTAACATCTTTTTTTTTATTGTGTAGCACAATTTTATCTTTACCATTTTTTTATTTTTTTTATTTAATATTTTGCAGTCATTGCACCGCTGTTTTTTTTTCTCTAAAGCTTCTTAGGAAATGTGACTCACCACTTAAGCCCTTTTTTGTCAAATCTAAAAACACATGGAGAAAAATCTCACAAGATAATTTTCCTCATGTGTGCACAGTTTTGTGGCAATTTTGTCTCGTGAGATCTTGTGGCACAAGATCTTGTCCCATCCCTGTTAATAATAAGGGGCTGTAGTGTGGTGCACAAAATGAAGATGTGTTCATAACTTTGTACTTCATAATGTCCATGTTTTCTAGGTGGTAATGGCGCCACACGAACCTTCAGTGGTGTTTGTGGATAACTACATCAAGCTCTTGGCTGATGGGAACCCTGAAACATTCCAGAAGATCTTGGACATGAAGGTCTCTTGCTTTTTTGAGTCAATTTTTTTTCATGTTTTTCCCTTGTTTAGTGGCATTACGGTGTCCTTGTCTAACTTCACAAGCAGGTGTCACTTTTATTGCTCATGTGTTTGTGCACAGGGTTTGAAGCGCAGTGAACAGAGCAGTATGCTGGAGTTGTTCAGACAGAGACTCCCCACACCTCCATCAGGGGCAGACACAGGGCCCTCACTGTTCAGCACCCCCACCCCAGAGCAGGAGTCTTCTCGTATCCGCCGACTGGAGAAACTCATCAAGAAAAGACTGTGACCACACGCTGCAGCTGTAATTCAAGTTTTCACCTCAAAGACTTTTATTTTCCATGCTCTGTAGAATATTAAAAAAAAAGAAATTGTTTGTCGCTATAACTAAACTCCTAATGGAAGAAAAATATACTTCCCCATTACTGTTACTGTTGTTGTTGCATACTGTATTACATATCCCACCTTCAATTTTTCAACACTAAAAGCCTGAACTTTGCAACAGTGTTGCAACAGTGTGCCTGCTCTTACTGGAACACAAGCAGATTTGACAAATCTGAACAGTTTCAGAAAGTTTGACATGATTACAGGATTTCTGCCTTTAATGAGTTAGAGTGGTAAGCAAATCATTTTAAGGTTTTATTTCAAGTTTGGAAAAATGAAATTAATATCAACATATAACATATAAAAATGCACCTCTTTCTCGAACTATATTGGCATGTGGTTTAGTGTTTTCCTGTTAATGTCTTCTCTAAAATCTAAAAATTAATTTTTGCCTTCTCATAACCTATTACCAATGTAATTGTTGGTTTCATCAGTGAAGGAAATCTATGAACAGTCTATTTAATATGTTTTAAATTATTAAATTAATAATGCTTTAGCTGTTTTAGCCTGTTTTAAAACCATAAATAAATGTTTTCTCTAATTAAATGCAGGTTATTTATTGATTTCCTTTGTTTTGTTTTTGTTTTTTTAATCGCTCTTGCATTAAGATTAATTATATTATATTAACCATAGCCTTTAATTTGTAAAGAAAAACATGCAGGAATTATTTGTCCTGCATGTAGTGGGAAACCTACAAGCCCATGTGGTTTCAACAGCCCCTTGCTAGTCTATTGTCCTCCAATCAGGATTGAGTTTCAGGCTTGAAAGGCGGTCCTATTCCATGTTTGTGGCTCCGAGGGCCTCTTTGAGGGAAAATGAGTTTGAAGAGCAGCCGCGGGTAGTAGCGCTCCCCCACATTTGAGCCACACGTAAAGATCTTTGTTCACGTCACGGTAGCATACTGCCGCGGCAGTCTTGTGCAGCAGAGGACTGCTGCTGTTGTGTTTCATTCAACGATCGCACTGGACTGTATTTGAGCTGGGAACAGTGAGTTATTGCAAACTGCCCAAGGCATCGCAACAACATCACTAAGAAACTGGAAGTGCCTGTTTTGAAACCCTGTTGGCATTGAGCAACGTTGTAGCCTACCAGAGATGGTCGGCAGACTGAACTTGCCAAATGTTTCTGGAGGAGATCCACTGGATATGAGCTGCTGCAGAGCAGACCGAGGACTCGATAGTCCGGATTCGGGTTTACCGCCCAGTCCAAGTCCCAGCGCCTGGCTCCCTGGACCAGCAGACAAGGAGGAGGGAAAATCTTCTCTGGTAACTCACAGACTATACAGAAGAGTAGCCTGTATGATAACTCCAGTCACACATGCTATAGTAGCTTACAGTCAGTGCTAAACTCACTACTTCACTGTGACTGATTTCACTTGACTAATTTTAATAAGGTTTTAATGAATTGGCTATAGCATATCATGTTGTGCAATGAATCTATGCCCACTTCTCACTTATTTGAAACTATTTGGCCTACTAATTAAACTGTTTTAGGCTCCATCCTTGCCTACTCGTCCATTACCACAACTACAGCCTTTGTCATATGGAGAAGGTGTATCTCTCAGCCCCTTACCTGCAAAGGAGATGAGGTTGGTGGAAAAGCTGCAATAAGAATGCCTTGTGTCTTACTGATATGGCTCCATAGACAAACCAATGTTCTTATGTTCACAGATACACCTCATGTATGAGTTATGACTCAGACCGTCACTTCATCCAGAATGTGACCCTGCGGCCTTGGGGTCAGGAGCTGGAGCACTGTCGACAGACCATTGTGGCCATGCCTCACAGTACCTGGCGTCATTACAAGACACAGCTGGAGTTTGAGCCGCGACACCGGCCTCACCAATTCAGCAGCACAGCGATCATCTACCCCAAGAAAACCAGTGTAATGTATACCACTGAGCTGAGCTACGACTGCCACCGCCTGGTCAGGCATTTCATCTCTAGTGTGGAGCTCGAGGCGTCAGGCCACAGACAGGAAGCCCACACAGTGAAGAGGTGATGGGCTGAGTACAAGAAACCACTGCTATATAGGCTATACATATACACATTGACCTGCTGTGTTTTTACACTTTGTTTTTACACTTTGATAGATCCTGTTTTGATTCAAATATCCTTGCAAAAAAGTTATATTTTACAGTATTTTATATCACAAAGTTTATATTGTGTTGTTTAGTTTTTAAATGTTGATGCATCATTGGGCTAAAGTAAGGGCAACAGCTGTGTCATTTGAGGTGTCACTTGGCAATGTTGTCCACATAATGTATGCACAAACAAAACATCAGTGCTTCACGTGTTTTTTTTCTGTCACCGGGTGATATGAGTTCTGCACAACTTTCATGTGTACACAGGTTTAAGTTTTTCTTTAGTCTATTTAAGCAAGGTTTGTGATTCAAGTCAACACCTTTCTATTCAAGTGTAAGCTTAATGTAGGATGTACAAATAGACCGTAGGTCTACTGTTTTGATGAAGGCCAATTTTACATGTTTTTACTTTGTGTGAATGGAATGCTGGATAATATTTATTCTCATCTTCAATTTTAGATGTTTTTATTAATGTTACCAAGTTTTATGGTTTTAAATAAAGTAATAATTTTATCCTAAGTCATCATTTGTGCAACCTTGATTTGGTGAGGCCATCTCGAAGGCCTAAGTAAATGAGGCTGCTTTAAGATATGGCGCCCCCTGGAGGTATACATTGCCGAATCTGCATCTTTAGCCAGATCATTACGATTTTAGAAGCACACGCATAGTGCAATTAACAGGCTACGTTGTTTGAACTTAAAATGTGTCAACCATTTACCCTATGATTATTTAATTTAGGCAGGTAAAATATTAAGGAAAACACAAAATTAGGCTATTCTTTGTTGGGTGAAGTGACCAGCTATGTAGGTGTTAACCGTTTACTGTTTACTCCAACCCGCATAAGACCATAGAAAGTATAATGCCCTTGAAGTAGGCTACAATAAAATTATTTTAGATTCACGCTTAGTTAGTATGACCCATATATAGTGGCATAAATTGTATTTCACAAAAAGTAGTAAGTAGTTAAGCTAAACGTAACACAAATGCATGCCCAAAACATAAAATGTAAAGAATAAAAATCTTTATACAATCAATATAGACTTGTAGAGAGTAAATTGTCCGATTTCTCAAAACACGTAAATGCAACACTCAAACTAGCTGAGTGCTGCAATATTCTTATGTAGATATTTCTGAGAGTTTAACACATTTATCTTCAATCGTGACAATTAATAAAAAAAAAAATAAAAACATTTGTTTAAAAATGTTGATTTGACGGTAGCGACTATATTGTGACGTAAAAAGTCAAAGGGCTACGGCGCATGTGCACTAGGCTTGTGTTGGCTATTGAACGAAAAACACATGGAAAACATTCATGGAAAAACAGGGCATGAACATTATTATGGTACTGTCAGACTCATAGCTATACAGACTTTATTCATTTAAAGTCAGTCAGACTATTGATATTAAACGGCAAATCGACTGGAAGTGTCGGGTCTGAACTCGCTGCTGCACAGTGCACTCTACTGGCTAACAACAAATCAGCTGTGCTAGAATGAAAACTTTCAATGCAAATACCAACGTGATGGAAATGTTTGAAACTGGAAATGTCTTGAAAATATGCGCTCCCATGGTTAGATATTCAAAGTAAGTATTATTACTATGTCGTTACTTGTGTTTTTTCAGTTCTTATGTAGTGTGTATTGTGTTCTCAGATTAGCCTTCAGGTCTTTGGTGAGGAAATACAACTGTGATATCTGTTTCACTCCGATGATAGTTGCTGCCGATTTTATGAGGTCTGAAAAGGCTCGAGACAGTGAATTCACAACTAGTAAAGGTGAGCAATGTGAATGATCATTATATTTTATTTAGACATTTATTTATTGAAAACTATAAATAGCAGTATGACAGAAATTGTGCTCTTCCTCATTGTAAAGGTGATAGACCACTGATTGTGCAATTTGCTGCAAATGATGCCCAGACCCTAGCGGATGCGGCCTGCGTGGTAGCCCCATTCTCAGATGGAGTTGATCTAAATTGTGGCTGCCCTCAAAGGTTCAAAAATGGTTTCATTATAATATAAGCTCAATATATGGATCCCTATGAGTTTAAATGTATGTTTTTGTTGTTTTTTTTTCTTTTTTAGATGGGCCATGTCATCTGGTTATGGGGCATGTCTTATCAACAAACCAGAACTAGTGAATGACATGGTTAGAACTGTCAAAAATCAAGTAGACAATCCAAACTACTCAGTATCCATTAAAATAAGGTAAAACTATATTATTGCATTAAAGTAATGAATCAGCTAGTGCTATTTATCTTTTACCTAAAGAGGCTGTCATTTAAAGTTTATATATCTGTAACATGTAAGCTTTGCAAAGCAAATATTTGTAATTTTTTATAAGAACTGTGCACTTACAGAATGCAGTACTAGAATGGAAAATGTAGGACACTATAATTACCATGTCCAACTTTTTTTTTTAGAATTCATAACGATATCAGGAAAACTGTGGATTTGTGCCAGAAAGCAGAATCTGCAGGTGTGTCCTGGATAACAGTTCACGGCCGAACAGCCCAAGAACGACACCAGCCTGTTCACTACGAAGCTATAAAGACAATCAAAGACAGTGTCAACATTCCTGTGATCGCTAATGGGGACATAAAGTTCCTACGGGATGTGGAAGCTACACATAAACTCACTGGTGTAGATGGTACAGTACTTAATAGGAACTGAATTACACTTTTACCAAAATAATTGAATATGGTAAATGTTCAATATGTGTTTCTCTTTTTGTCTCATTCATGAAATATAGGAGTGATGTCTGCACGAGGGTTGCTTGCAAATCCTGCCATGTTTGCCGGTTATGAGGACACGCCTTTGCAGTGCATATGGGACTGGGTAGATCTTGCTATTGAACATGGTACACCATTCACCTGTTTCCACCAACATCTGATCTACATGCTGGAGAGAGTGACCTCCCAGCCAGAACGAAAAGTTTTCAACTCTCTTTACAGTACCTCTGCAGTCATAGACTACTTGCAAAAAACATACGGAACCGAACAGGATTATACAACATAGTAATATACATTATGAGCTTTTAAAATTATGTTTTTTTATTGTGTAATAAATTTATTTTACACCAATTCCTCTGCATGTATGGATTTCCATTTATTTTAAGAAATTAGAAAATGTCACATTGTACTGTGCACATTTCCTGGTGGAGGTTGCGCCACCTGCTTATTTTAGTATAGATGTTATTGTTTTGCCTGGGATGTCCCACAATAAGACTGAAAGCCAATCTACTTGTCTATTGCTATATCTATCTCCATGGAGACAAGCAGGACATATTTATGGAAAGGCAAAACTCAGGCAAATATAGACAAGCTGATGGCTGACCCGGCTGGATCTGAAAGGTTACTTACTACATCTTAAGCAAAAACTTTGTACTTTCTTCAGAAACGAGTTAAATACACACCGTCTAAGATGTAGCATAACAAACCCAGAATCCAAAATCAGAAGCTCTTATTTTGAAGGACGGAAGTTGCGGTTGTTTTACGCGGGTGTCAAACCTGATACGGAAGTAAAAGTTTCTTGCCTCTTATCTGCAGTCGTGTTGCTGTTTGCTCTATCTGTTATTAGTGGTAAGTTAAGATGTCAGATAATGCCAGTATACTGTAATTTCATTAGTGTTTTTACCATTTAAGTGGCAAATAGCCCTTCTAGTTACGAAAGCGGTGACTTAGAGCAAGATGACAGATTTCTGATATCAACCTTTCCTGTATTATACACAATTGATTTTGTTTTTCATTCGAACCACAGACTGTGTGATTCTAACATACAAAGTAGTCGTGGAACATAACATACAGGTTAGGTCACTTTATCTATTTTTCCTTTACTTTAAAAGTAAATGTATAAGTCACAACTGACAATTTTGTTCACTCTGGGTGTAGTGAAAATTCTAGTTTTACAGGGTGCACCTGTGTACACTGCTCCAGAATACCAATGCGCTCCACCCAAGCCCGGACAACCCAAATTACTGTACAGGTATTGACTGAATCACTCATGCTCTTTTTTTGCAGACATCTTATTATCATGACACTCCAATGGACTGCTGTGGCACTCTTCCTGTATGCAGAAATGGGTACTCTGCTCATCCTCTGTATACCCTTCATCTCACCAAAGAGGTATGGTCACAGTTATGTTAGTGATATTGGCATTTTACATTGATCTAACTGTGTCTTCTTTTTTCTGTGCCTTCAGGTGGAGGAGCATTTTCCATTTGAGAATATGGAGCTATGTGTCAAGATTTTGGAATAAAGTCTTTCTTACCATGATTATCATCCTCATTGTTCTGTTCCTAGGTGGGACGATTTGTTGTTGCACACAATACAAACCTAAATTGAATTGTTATTATATGCACCGTAATGTTTTTTTCTTCTCCTTTTTTTTTTGGTCTTGATAGATGCTGTCCGGGAGGTGAGAAAATATTCGGCCAAAGATGTGGGTACAAATGCTAAGCTACAACCAAACATGTATGACCACCTCCACATGAAGCTCTTCAGAGCACAGCGGAACCTCTACATATCTGGCTTTGCTGTCTTTCTGTGGCTGTAAGTATTTAATCCCAATGACTCACTCATTGTTTGTCTCACAATTTACCAACTGAGGTTTTGAAAACGCACTGTGTCCTCTTTCCAACCGGCCTCCATCTGACTGGTGTGATTTCTGTAGGGTGATGAAGCGTGTGATCACCATGATAAGCCAACTGGCATCAATGTCTGATACTACAGCTGCTCTCCAGGCACAGGCTGATGGAGCCAACCAGGCTGCTAAGAAATACATGGAGGACAATGAGCGGCTAAAGCAAGTAGGGCAGACAATACGCTAAAACAAGAGTAAAAATAACTTCTTGATTAGTTTTTTTATAACATGTAATAAGACTAGTACTGTTGTTTGCTTTCTTAGTCTCTAATGGAAGGAAAAGGTGACCAAGCTACAGCAGAAGGAATGGAGTTGTTGCGTGAAGAAGTGAAGAAACTCAAAGACGAATTGAAGGCATCTGATGAAAGTGAGTATTGTAATGGTTTGTTGTTGTTGTTGTTGTTTCTCATTTCATTTGTCTTTTTGAGCAACATGCAAGTTTCGCTATGCATTATGATGCAGCAGTTAATTTGTCCTCAAAAGGAGTAGAAAGAAGTGTAAATGTATGTATGTATACCCTAGTCCAACCCTCCAAAATGCATTTTGATTTGTCATGGTGAGGTTTTTATTCTTCCTCATTGACGTGGCAATTTGCTAACATGTAGATACACGGTAAGTTAAACCTTATTTTGTTAAATCATTCTTCTCAAAAATCATTCATAAACTGTCCAGATGCTGTACATGTTGTTAGCCAGTGTAATTGTGTGTTAGTTACATCTACTCGTGTTTTTCAGCATTGACAAAGTCTCACAGTGAGGCTGATGTGATGAAGAAGCAAATGGAGGGTCTTGCCCGGGAGTACGACCGACTGCTGAAAGAACACCAGGAGCTCCAGGTAACATAAATGTCTGTTATCTGTCACCTATTGTCTTTTCTCATTTAATTTTTCTATTACTATTTATTTATGTCAGAATCGTGAACATGCTGGAGACAAGAAGTCTGACTAACAAGTGCAAGACCAGTAACAAGATAGTAAGCCAGACACCTAACCATTTGATTTTAGAAATACTTTGGTTTATTCGGGTTTGTGAAGAACTCCACAGTGCATTTCAGAATGTGCTAGTACAATGAATAGCTTGTGAAGGTAACTCTACTCTTACTGTGTGGAATAGATTGCGTATGCTGTATATCTTTAGGCAGTCTAATGTTTAAAGATACTAGATTTTTTGCCAGTATAAAACCAATTCTCTCATGTCTGCAGTGATGTGTGTGCACTGTGCAGACATGTAAGCATACTGTGTTGTTGTGTTAAGAAGATTATTGGTTTTGTTCAGTTTTATGTTCAAGTTGTGTAAGATTCTATGTGAAATTAATGATTTTACATTCCCCAAACAGACTTTTTATTCAGAATAGTTCAGTCATAGACAGGTGTTTTATTTTGAAAATTTGTAGAAAAAGACAAAACAACTGAATGTCATAGTCATACGGATTTCTGGCGCGCTTTTTTTTCTTTTCTTTTTTTTAGAATTTTAAAACATAGTCTTTATGCTTTTTTTTTTTTTTTAAGAGTTGCAGTGCCTTTGCTTTTGCACACATTTTGTACAATAAAGATTCCTTGATTGTTTTGTATTTAGTCTTCTTTATAATAAGGAGAAGGAATTAATTGCATATTAAAATATTTATTTTATGTAACATCAATCCTATATTTTATTTTTTTACAAAAATAATAAGGGAAAAGTATGTACATTCTTATTTATGCATGTCAGTGCCATTAATTTATGAGATTAGACCATTTTCTTGCATTTTTCTGAACATACTTGTGTATGACACCAAACCTGATTTAAAGATAACACAACATACAGAGCTTAAACCTACCTCACAATATACGTAGGCAGAAGGCTATGTAAACTGTCCTCTTATTAGTTGTACTTTCATAAAAGTTTGATTTTGTGTGGAGCTCTTCATGAGCACTACCTGAGGAGGCTACAGACCAGAATATCTATATTCTGTAGATTTGGCACAGTGGAACTTTGAAACACTAATACATCAAACTCAGTACAAAAGAGAACCAACAAGTATGGCTGGTGACACGGCTACTCTCAACCTGTAGAGCACTGAACGACCTTAACACTTGTGTGCTGCTGAAAATATACATAGAGGGCATTTCAATGTAGGACTTTACGATCTGACGTAAGTGCTGTTTTTGGTCTACCAAATTGGGATCAAGTACAATTTAACATGCGCTACTGTCAGATAATGAACACAAAAAAGACACTGTAAATAACTTACCAAAACCCCTACAGAAAAAACTATATTACACTCAGTCACATGGCTTAACAAAACTTCTTCAAAGATGCACAATTTTTAGGCTATGAATTTAAATAAAAAGACAACTTTTTTCCAACTTGTTTGCTCTGTTCTGTTGGCATTACAGACAGTGCATTATATAGTAGAGAGGTAAGTGTTGAGTGAAAGAGGCACTAATATCACACCAACCATTTTTCACAAAACATTTAGACTTTCTTTAAAAACACTAGCGGCCCCACTGGCATAAAATATATTGTGTACTCAGTGGTCATACTGTTTCCTCACCCTTTCTAGCTTTATTTCTGTTCACCTTTTATGTTTCAATACATGCGCCTCCATGTTATAAGGTCACTTTTCAGGTGTTATGGGAACATACCAAGAAGAAAAAAGTTGTCTTAATAAAATAGTATATAACATAAATAATAACACAAAGAATTGAGAGGCAGTTTAGTAGATGCTGGTGCCAAGAATGAAAACTTTCTTTGTCCTGCAGTAGTCTACACAAAACATAAGTCCCATCAAAACTCCTGCTCCATCATCTAAAGTGGAAAATAAAACCTTTTACTTATTGATGAAAAAATAAAAGCATATATACATTCAAGAAATATTTCATAAGCATTAATTTCTGTCATAAATTCTTATAAAGCCTTCACAAATCCAGTACAAATATAGAACCTATGTTTTATATTATCAGATATTGAGAGTGACGTATAATTCCCTGCAACTTATTCGTGTGGGTGTGCATTTTTGTTATTCCTTTGTACACTGTTTTTGTTCATGAAGAAAAGAGGTCCACATTTTTCACAGCCGTGTCTCTCTGTCTGTGCCGTTGTCCGATATCCGCTGTGACGGTTCTGAATTGGAGATCACTAACTCTTCCTTCCTCAGTGCTTCGAGTTCAGCCCCACCATTGGTGACAGCGCTATGGAGGGCGTTCCTCTCTTCATGTTTGAGCTGTCGGCTGAGCAGTATGAAGCCAGGGATGCAGATGACAAAAGAGATGGTGCGCAGACTCAGGGTCAGGCCCAAGTATGCTATTCTGTAAGAGACATGCACATGGCATTAAATGGGTTTTCAAGAGAATGGTGAAGAAATGGTAAATGGGTCTATTTTCGGTGAAGTGGTAAAGAAGCACAAAATATCACTAATGGATTATGCATCTCAAATGGATGCTCATAATGAGGTAAAGTGGTACTCCAACATTCTGGTACATACATTTTGTACCAGATTGTTGGAGTACCACTAAAAAGTACAATGTTCTTCCTAATGTTTCCACCAAACAATTCTTGCTATTAGTACTATTAACATTACCACTAATGCTAGCACTGCTACACTTTCTTTTTGCAATATTTTTTTTTCAGAAACATGCTACTTGTTTTGGTAGTTGCCATGAAGAGTGCCATTATCATTCCAGTTGTGTGGTTTTGCATAGAGCTGAAATATGCAAATAAATTGTATACAGACTACAATGTGGTTTTCAAGCTATCCAGAGAAAGTGCCTTGTTGACTGGTTGGTGCACATGAACACTGAACATTTTACACAAATTTCTTATACGAAAAGAGGAATATACGTAAGCTCCCAACTACCTGTATGCTGTGGTATTATATATTCGACATGCTCCGATTCCTCCACACCTCTTCTGGCCCCATTTAAGACATGTTGTATCAATGATGGCTCCAAAGTAAATAGGGGCTGGTATCCCTGCTACAAACAGAGGACTGGTCACAATCACATCAGGGGATACAGGCTACCAATGTGTTAAACTGCTACCATTTTAATAACATAATACAAAAAAATTTGTATTACCACAGCATACTCACCAAGTGTTCGTGTTGCCATAGCATGGAAACCCAAAGCCAAGGACTTCAGCTGTGGTTTAATGCATCTGCCAGAGCAAAATACATTAATTTGTTAAATAAAAATTTAATTACTAAAAATATTTGTCCTTTATCAATTCGTTAAAAATGTATTGCCAAAATTAGCTAAAGAGATTTAGCATTTCACACAGACATTTCAGAGAACAGTGTGGCAGAATGAATGACCTAATTTATAAGTAGTGTAGACAGATTTGCCTAAGGATGTGAGTGGTCAATCTAGCATGTCTTACCAATTAGAAACATATTAGAGTAGTTAAATCTGCAAGCATCAGATGATCTGGCTCAACATTTGGATTGACAAAGCTGCTGTTCATATGTGCTTCAAAAATGCTGGGAATGGCTGAGGGCCAGTTAGACGTGAGGAGAAGTCTGTGTCTAACAGCTTCAATCTGATGTGACTTCACAGAAATCCTGTGCGCATCATAAAAGATCAAGACAGCAGCCTAAAGAACGTTAATCCTCTTGTGGAAGTGACTTATATCAATGCCCTGTATTACATTATACTCTACACTCAAGGTCTGGTGTAGGGTGAACACATCAAATTAAGTTAGTAGATAATAGTAACTGCACCATGCGTCATAGGATTTTTGTTTTTATCAATCGTAAAACACTGGAAGAGATTGGAAGAGCAAGCAGGTAACAAACTATGACAAACCTGAGTGATATTACCTCAAAATGTATGCATAATAATGAAAAAATGGGATGAAATGGGATGAAGGAGAGGCAGTCATCCACTCTGATAAAAATGTTTTTCCAGCAATCAAAAGAATACTGTTTTTCAAAATGCAATCTGTATGTTGTTGTATGTTCTGTTGTATTTTCTCATAACTGTTCAGGATTACTGTGGGTTTTTATTGCTGGGGAGCACAGTGGGTCTCTGCTTGAGCACCAGGAAAAAAAACTTGATTGTAACTAGCTCTAACTTGAATACTAAGTGAGGACTGAGTGGGTTGTGTTTGTCATAATTTTTGTTCCAAAACAATAATTCCCTGTACACTCCTGATCATAGACTGTATAAATATGTGGACTAAAGGAGTGTGAAGTCACCCATAGCATTCGACTCCAGTTAAATGAAGCTCACAAGGCCAGCAGGAGTGAATTTGGAGCCGAGTTTCATATTAGGAATAGGAATTTATTTATAGACAAAATAGCGAAATAAACACATCAGGATCATATAGAGTGGGTTAATATGAACAGTTTAAGACCAAAATGACGAGGCTCACTGCAGCAGTTACAGAGAGAAGGGCGACATTTTTTAAGTCAGTTGGAGTTGATGGAGCTGGAAGCACCCAAATGCTTACTCTCTATTTGGGACGTGGCGGTGGTTAGCTATGTCCATTTACATGTATAGTATATGTTCCTGACGGTGGTGCAAACCTGACCTGATGAGCAGCATGTAGCCGGGTGTGCCGCCCAAGGAGATGATGAAGGACGTGATGACAGACAGAGCCAGGAAATAGGGGAACATGCGGTCACAGTCGTCCTTGTCTGAGCACGGACCTGCACTGGCTGTAAAGTTACCAGCCACACCAACACAGCTACAGTTAGAGAAGACCTAGAGACACATGCACAGGCACACACATAGGACCATGTAAGTGGGACACACTCATGTGCTGTCAACATACATATCAATATACACATACAGTAAATACACAAAAAATATGAAAATTGTACAGGAAATCTACATGACCTTTTTAGAGTGGGTTACAGGCTTATGTTACAGGCTAATGTCATGTTAGACTTATACAGTAGGTTATTGGTCTATTCAGTCTTGCATTTCAAGCATTTTTATGATAAATAGTGTTTAATGATTTACAGTTCATAATAACCCAATTCAGCACATTTTCCACATAAGCAATGTCTTGCAGTCGAGGTATATTTTTCATTCTACTTTACATTTGACTCTTTTGTGAACTTACTGTGCTTTTCCCTGTGCCCATAGAGCTGGTGCAGCCGGCCAGACAGGCAGACACGTATGTGACACCATTGTCCCCACAGACCGGGTCCCACTCACTGGGCGAGCATGAACAGCCCAGGTTACAGCTCTCAAAGACTGAGTGTTTGTCATAGGATAAGCCATCCTCACTGCAGTCACAAAAGCAGAGAGAAGGTTCATTAAAGCCTTGTTAAAATGCATCTGTAAGTTTGCATTATTGAACTAACATGCAGATGTACACGATATATTTACATATATATACTTATATTTACTTCAGTCACAGGTAGTACAGGAGAGACACACAGACCTAACAGTTGTACTGGTGATGTAATTATGCTTATCATGTCAGTCACACCATAAAGCTCAAACTCAGCCTCATACAACTTAAGTTTTATTCTTGCTTTATTTTAGTTTATGTGTTTGTGTGTTACGTGTCTATGCCACTTGCTAGTCCACCGTGACAGGACTTAAATAATTGTATATTTAATAAAGTTAAAGAAGCACTACTTCTCTCATGAGCTTTGTCTTGTGAACTTTATTAATTCATTCTGACCTGCTTCAGATGTATTCAGGGCACAGCTGGGGTGAAGAGTCACTTTCCTGTTCACCTCACACAGACACATGTGCCTTCACATTATAAAATAAGTGAATATAAGCAGATAGCTACATACATACTAATGATGAGTCAGGGGGAAGGAAATCTAAAAATCTGAACCACTTTTATTATAGCAGGTCAGTTTCAGCTCTGCCCTGATTTCCCCCACTTCCTTTAAGTTACGGGGTCACAGCATCACCTCCTCCTCCGCTCCCTGTAGCTGTGGCATGGTCTGGTGTCGTTAAACAAACACTTCAAACTTTAAACTTTGTATCTCACAACCTTCATATCTAGGTGAGTGTTAAATTGGTTAAAATTGTTAAAGCTTTCCTTTGTGATTGCCATAGCGCCTCCATATACATTTTACCATATATATATATATATATATATATATATATATATATATATATATATATATATATATATATATATATATATATATATATATATATATATATATATATATATATATATATATCAAAGGTACATTATTTTTATTTTATAGAAGAAAGCCGAAATGTAGGCAACAGATACATTTATTTAGTCTCTAACTTTGTTTTCTGTGATGTTATTTATATTGTGCAGTTTTAGTACATTTTCCAGTCTTTCCTCAAACTCCGGTCGAGTTTATTTATTATTGAATTAAGTGTAGCTACGCATTTGACTTTAATAAATTGATACTACGCAATATTTTGAGTTGATATCGACCTCTGCTTAGGCATGTTTGATAACTTCTTGATTATGGAAACAGTTTTAGTGCACTTATTTAATTTAATGTGTAATTATATTTTTGATAATGAAATGGTTAGCCTTGATGTGTTGTAACCTTACTGAACTTGTGGGTCATTGACCACTGACTAAATGTAATTATTGTGTATTTTGATTAATGATTAATTTACTGAGACTGGTATTTTGAATATGATAATTATTTGAATATGGACTATTCACTTATATTTGATGCTTGTATGTTTCTGCATACATTCAATTTATATTTGGTTAGTTTAGACCTTGTAACTGTTACTTTTGTTTTAAAAAATGTTTTAGTTTGATATTCATTTGTGTATTTGGCCTTCTAGGTCAGTTTTTTTTTTTTTTTTTTTTTTTATGGATGGAATCAACTTTCAATGGACAATTGACAAATTTCAACTCAACAACCTACCAGACATCGAGCTAAATAACTGTGCTGTGGGACAAACTGTTTCTTTTTTTTTTTTTTTTTTAACCCCCCGCCACTTTTCAAACTGTGGATTATACAAATTGCAATTCTCAATCTGTGGATATTATCCTGACAAACGTTTTTTTGTTAAAGGACTTATTTCCAAATTGGAACTTGAATGTTTGTGTTTATTTATTTTTTTGTTTATAATTTAATTTACCTCTCATAATCAATACACATAACACAAAGCTTCAAAATTCTGTCTGCTGTGTCTATTCACTCATACCTCGGCTCCTTAAAGAACAAATCTTCTGTTGCCACTAAACTGTGTAGTCGTAGTCTGCCCCCTAGCCCTAAATTGCATAACACTGACACAAATTCATAGTAATACTAATTATTTTAGATCCTATATTACTCAAAATTTCATTTGTGTTTTCTTTCACACATTCAAATGTTTGAGTAATCTTTTATTATTAGTCTGTGTACATCTTCAAAGCACAAATGCTTTGTTCTTGTATGATGTCATGAAAAGTTTTTTAACATCTTAACAGCTTAATTTAATGTTTAGTTCTGTAGAGATGGTATCACAAGGTAGCAGAGCATTTTCTGTTTGAGAGAAAGAAACCTAAAAAAAATAAATATGCAGGGTTTGTGTGTTAAATATGTGTGAATGAAACAACACACAACTAGATCGGAATTATTACCTCCGCCAAGGAGGTTATGTTTTTGCCGGCGTTTGTCTGTTTGTTTGTTTGTTTGTTTGTCTGTTAGCAACATAACTCAAAAAGTTATGGACCGATTTTGATGAAATCTTCAGGATTTATTGGAAATGTGAAAAGGAAGAACTGATTTAATTTTGGGGGTGATCCGGAAGAAATCCTGGATTCTGGATCACTTTGAAATTTTAGTTAACATTGTGGTAAATGGGGCCAAAAATTTTGTTTCTCAATATCTCGGTTAATTATTGACCAAACCCCATGAAATTTGACTCAGGGATGGACAATGGGATTCTCTTTCATATTCCAAAGGCTGATCCAGAAGACTGATTTTATCACAATTTATATAAAAAATGGGGGTAGTCCTTGGTGGAGGTCTGCCCTCTCTGAGTGCTTTTCTAGTTGTAATATAACATTTTAAATAACTATGCATCTTTAGCCTTGACATTTTAGGTCCTTTCTTGCCAAAATTGGATTGCAATATTTCATTTATATTCATGTTTATATATTGTCCCTTTTTTCCGTCTTAACCTGATCTCATTCCCAATCTTATCCCTTCACCCCGCCTTAAGAACACAGTCATTTGTGGATAACAGTTGAGTGCGGTGACTCACCTGTTATATGGCAGTGTAACCCCGGCAACCCTGGCGTTCTCACAGCTCATAGCGAAGAAGAAGAGTGAGAGGATGTAGCCAATCAGGGAGGTGATGAAAGCAAAACGCGCTGCTCCCATGATGTTGAGCTTGAGCCTCTTCATGAGCAGACCTCCAGAGAACATGCCCAGAGCCACAGCAGGGATGTTGATCACGCCTGCAACACAATGTACTTATTTATTTTTTTTATTTTTTTTATTTTTTTTTCAACCATCAACAGTTCAAAACTCATGATGCTCAAGAGGAATAAAGAGTTTAAACGAGAACATGAAAATCTAGCATTGCTGTTTCTGAAATTGAAAAAAATCTATATAATACAGTCAATACAATACCCTTTGCAAAATCTGTATTTAACCCATAAATGTTTTTAATGTTTATACCCAAATAAATCAAAATATACATTACACCATACTACAAAAGGGTGAGAGGGTTGCATCCCATAGTGTCAGATCAGAGAAAGTTCACATGACTCTATTTATACATTAATACATTTACATTAAATCTCTCTCTCTTTTTATTTTTTTAGTTTGGTATTGTCCAGATGTAGTAGCACTTCATTCATTTTGATTTAAACTCTGAAGAACAAATGAAGCATGTATTGGACCTCTGCAGTTCACTGACGTCTGTGTGGAGCTAACTCTTTTATCTAAACCCATGTCATTAGCACTGCTCTCTAATACTGCATTCTCTTTCATATGCAGCCAGTTTGGTCAGCAGCCTCTCCCTTGATGAGACATGTGTATGAAGATACTTTCATCTCATGTTTCCAACTTTAAATTATTACATATTTTATTTGAGATGAAAAGCTCTTTACACATTCACAAAGCACTAGCGCTAGCCTTTGCTTGTGCTCCACTTGAGTGAGTAACCCCTTTTTGATGGCCGACATCACATATTGTATGCTGTACAAAGACCCCCTTTCTCAGCCAAAACACACTCATATGCTATTGCACAAAATAATGTATGCAATACAGAAAGATATTTATAGTCTCATTCATACCCATTAGGAAGTTGGCCTTTGATGCAGACTGCCTGAAATGCTGTTCGATGTATTTGGGTTTGTAGGTGACCATACCAATGAGGGAGTTCAGTTGAATGATTGTCACGCACAGGTAAATCAAATAGACAGGGTGTCCCAGCAGCGTGCGCAGGGTCGGGATGAAGTCTGGGGAAATATAACGGAAATATAACGGTCACAGTGGAGTGCATGGAGTGCAGCTGCAGCAGAGTGCGTCACATATTTTTCTGTTAACATGATGTTTGCATTTCTGAATGAATAAACAGGTCTCTGAATTCTCATAGTGCAACACAACAGGGACCCTAGGGCTCTGGGTGCACTTTGTAGATTATATATAGAGTAGTTTCAAAATGCATTTCCAAAACACAAGCTGCATAATGTATGGCAATCAAAAAGTATAATTTTGACTGTCACATTTAAGGTATAAAATATGAATGAAGTCAATGAAAGAACAATGTCCACAAAATAACTTGTCCTCATAAAAAAGACCTCTGCATAAACTGTTTTTGTCTCACCTTTGGCCATTTCTATAAAACTGCTATGTTCTTCTGCTTGATATTTCTTAATGAAGCTGTTTTTTTCTGGGGGGCACTTCTCTGGACTGCGTCCCTCAGACACAGGCAGGGAGCGGGGTAAAAACCAGAAGGGAATGGCAGACAGGAGGGTTATTACACCTGCAATGAGGTATCCAAGCCACCAGGCCCCCACCCAGCGGGCATCTGCTGGAGTGATGGTGATGCTCTCTGTGGTGACAAGACACATGATCAAGATACTGTTAAGACACTATTCAAACCTTATGGTGAGAAGATGGAGACAAACAGCACATTGAACATCCCAATCCTAACAAGTCCACTACTTCAGTCAGCTACTACTGTTTGGAGGCACTGTGTATTTTTCATGTTACATATTTTCTTAAAAACCATGACTATCCCTATTCATATAATATAACCATATCACTATGAAATCCCTTTGGAGTACTATTTCCAAATGAGGATCCTTTATGTATCACCTCTTGCTACATCCTCTGTCCATTGTTGTTTTGTTGTTTTTCCATAATATTTACTACAGATGATCGTGCAAGAGAATATTTTCATGAGACTGTGCACACATGAGGAAAAATGGAGCTAGCATAAATTCAGCCCAGAAGACCTAACTGCACTCCCATTTACATCTCCCAGGGACTATAGTGGTTTGTGTCATAGCCCCTAGGAGAAGACAGCTCCTAAACGTCATCTATTTGGCCATGCCTTTCATCGCAATGTTTACATTTTCTTGAATGAATGAAGTGTTACACTGTTGGGTTGCACCTCTTGAGAAGCTGTAGTTCCAAAAGTTGTGATTCCAAAATTGTGAACTGAACCACACAATTTATTTATAGTAAATAATGTCAAAATGTCTTCTTGTTTGTTTTCATGGACTTCTCTTTAATTATATACTCTATCAAACCAAACTAAAATGAGTTAAGCATGCAACTAAGAGAACTGTCACAAGTTAAGGGTGTGTGATATGCCATTTCCTGCTGAAATACATGTCATTCACTCAGAGCCTATAGGAGGAGGGGGTAAGAAAAATGTCTGTTTTTGAGTTTAGAGCTGCAGTAAATAAAGAAATACTGAATCACGATCTGACAAAACAACAACATTTTACATCATCAAAAGGATGAGATAACTATTCAATTTTTAACATCATATTGCGCAGCCCTAGGTTTCCTCATTATTAATAAGCCCATATGCCTTAGCTCCTACGTTTGTACTCACCCATTTTTACGAATCCAATGTCCACATAGATTTTGGCACAAAGGGAACCTAAGAGGTAGCCAAAGACTGGGCCAACCACTGAAATGGTCTGTACACAGCCTGTGATTTCACAAACACACCATTGGAACCATAGGTTTTAGCAAATGCACACAAACATAAATTCCATTAGTTACAATATCTATCTATCTCGATTCTAATTCCTTACCGACATACAATGCAGCATTCTCCTCAGTGGCAAAGTCATCTATATATGAGATGCCCAAAGGCTGGATGGGTGTCTCTCCAATTCCACGGAGTACGTTTCCCAGCAGCACATAGATCCACATGGACAGGTTGGACTCTCCTTCACATCCTGTGCACAACAGTAAGCACAGCTACAAATGCCAGTCAAATGATGTATGAATATAAAGGCAAATGTAGGCCACACAAACCTTTATGTGGCACGTCTGGTATCTGTCTACCCTGGGCTGTTTCTGCTGAGCCCAGTGCACATGGAGCAGGGTTACGTGTGGAGTTAGCCAGCCACCGCACTGATGTCTCAAATTCATAACTACAGGAGCCAAAACAAGTGGAGCGAGTTCAACAACAGCTAATCAGTTAAACAACGGCTGTCTTAGTAAAGGACTAGATATGGAACAGAAACGTTTTTCTCTGAACCAATCAGAGCACTCTGTTCAACTTAAGGGAGAACAGTTACAGAATTTAAGTTCATTCTTTCAGATACTAGTTATTCAACTCCGTACAACACTGTTACATCCAGACAGCCTCAAACACAGAGCATTTTACACACACTGAACTCGTGTATCTGTCTTTTGGACAAAAAGTGGAATCACCAGCAAACAATACACAGGAACAACTTTGTTTGGCCATCAAGTTTTTGATGGAAACTACTACACCAATAAAATAAACACTAGTAGAAATTAATCTTCAGTTCAATTTTGTTGAACTTGAATTGAAATTTTATTTTAATGCAATGGTGCAGGACGATTTGTCTGATACAGGATAATATTCCTAGGATATTTTCTGATGATAAGGGGGCCTCACTCTGTTTAGTGAACTGATTTGAGAAACAAAGAGAAAAGGTAAACCACCACCTGTATGCTGTAATTTATGGGGAGTAGGTTGCATGCTTAGCCTCACCTGCACTCTTTCTACTTTTAGGGCCTAAGCAATCTATACATTATACACAATGGGAGGTGTTGCAAATTAGGAATGTTAATTATTTTCTTTGTTTCTTGCCTTGCTATTTTAAAATTCTGTACATGTATTGGTTTATTAGGTTGGTAGTAACTGTGGCTGCTACTCTTGATAGGGTCTCTTGTGATAGGTTTGAATTTATTTGTAAGAGTTAGATTGTCCTCTTATAAACTTGAATGTGTTGAAAGCATTTTACAACCCCATGGTAAATATAACAGCAGGTTTTGTTGTGTGCATTAGTGTGCATCAGATCATATGCCTTAGACCTGCCACTCACCGGCCGATGATGAAGTGTGGCAGTGCAATGATGAAGGTGCCCATGGACATGAGCACACAGCCCATCGCGATGATCTTTGGCCGGTGGAGCTTGGCTCCAAAGTAACTGACAAATGCTATCACCAACAAGTTACCTAGTAGGACAAAAAAAAAGCGTTAAGTGCACAAATTCAATATTCACAAAAATATGAATAAAACACCATCAATATTTAGATATTCCTATGGCGAAGGAGAAATGGAATTTGTCAACAGGACAAAAGTTTTTTGGCTTAATATGTTTTGCAGCTCATCCAAGCTGCTTCTTCATTTCGGAAGAAGCAGTATGGTTTTATACAGAGAAATGGAGACAAACCGGTGACACTACCAGGTCAAATTTGAGAGTCAAAAAAGCTGCATTTGCATATTGAGGAATGTTCCAGGCAAAACAATAAAATCAGCATGGAGAAAACAGATGTCAGATCTTCCACTAAGTTCACTTTTAAATTCCTGCAGTTCAAAATTTCATTCAAATAACAGATACAACAGCTCCAACACATTTTCATTAGCCACAAGATACAAACAGTTATTCCAAACAGCTCGTGTCACATCACGTGAGGAGAATGTAAACTGTATGTAAACAGAGTATTATGCTGCAGGGGCAAAAGCGACCTGAGAGATTAGATCATGTCATTTTGGTGAGCTAAAGGTTAATATATTGTAGTCACCATAATAGGCAGGGCTGTATTTACATGTGCAATTATATTGTTTTATATTTATTTGTCAAACTGTTGACAAAGAAATAACACAACCAAACATAAGAGCAAGTGTATTTTGGCTTGTTCCCTGAGTCTGACTTTTCCCAGACACATGCCCCTCACTCATGCAGTAGTCTGATCCCCTGAGACGCTAAAGCAGCTATTTTGAGCTTTTAACCACAGACCATGTGTGCACCATAAGACTAAATGTATACACCTTAAGTTGAACATTTAAATACACTGACTCTCAACGAAAGTCTCACTTATCTCTTGATCTAATATATAAATATGGACAGTGGGATTATTCTGACCAGGGTTAGAGTCCTGGGCACTGGGCACTCTTTAATTGAAGGTCAAAGCAGAAAATAGATTTACACAAAGGAAAATGAGGTCCTTACCTTACCATAACATATGGTTTAAGTGTTTTACAGTTTGTCCCAGTTGATTTGGGACATTTTTCTGGACATAAATAAATAAAGTATTGTTCAACCTGAAAATTACTTTTTTTTCAATTGTTTTGACCTATTCCTCTATTGAAAATTTATATTTGCAAAAGCTAGCTCAAAATCCTACAAAGAATTATATTTTTCCTAATTGCATTGCTTCCTATTGAAGCAAAATGCTATTCAGTATTCAAAAGTGATCAGACATCTCCCAAAAGCTAGTTTCACCATCCACCCCCAAACTCTCAGACTTTGAACATGTGTATTTCTGTGTCCCAGAAGCAGTCTGACAGTGGTGGTCACGCTTTACACTTATGAATTTGGTGTGCTGGAAAATCAAACAATACATTCACAACAACACAAAATGTGCTAAAACGACTGTGCAACATTAAGTCAATTTGTGTCAATGTATGTTTTTATACAGCAAATACTGTGGTGAATTGTTTCAGATTAGTTTACTTTGTCTGCTGTTTCTTACAAATAAAATTTGGATTGTCAGGCTGGTTAAAGTGCATTGGATTTCATGTATGCATTTCATTTCATGCACTAGCACTTTGAAATATGAAGGTATTACTTCTTTTCATTTCTGAGCAGCAAAATGTGCCAAAGTAAGTGGGAATAGCTGTAATATTTTAGACAAAAAAGCGTTTCTTCCAGCCCCAAATTCATCTGTGTAAAGTGCCACTCTAGTGGCATACTGGACTAGTGGTTCTCTGTGGTCACAGGAGTAGAAGAACTTGTGAGCTGCACTGCCATGAATAAAAGAGTGCATACAGTTTTTGTTTTGTTCTTTTATCGCTTTGGCACATTTTCTGAAATTCTTCTCTGAAAATCTTTCGAGCACAAGACAATTCTAACATTTGAGAACAATTACACTTTGTGAACAAAACATAAAACAATCTTATGAAAAGGACACTTTGTGCTTTTGACTTTAAAAAAAATTGGCGTGACTTTAAAATCATTTGGAATATTTCTCATCAGATCACACAGTTCTCAGGCTCTGTCTTAAAACACTTGACACAGCTCTCATTCACAAACATGCATGATGATTGAATTCAGATTTTTTTTTTTTTTTTCCCAGTGGTATTCTCAAGTTCTGAAGGGCATTGGCTATAACACTGCCACTTTCAATATAGAAATTAAAACGTAAACATAAACATAAATTTAAAAAAATTTAAAAGTGTAATAGTGTAAAACTGTGATTCTGTGTGGTCACTAAGATCAGGACTAAGGCTTTTGGTGGATGAACAGTTTTGAATGGAAAACTTCTTTTTGCAGGGATAAGATTTAGGAAAACTAAATGGGATTCTGTGGGAGGTGTTTTGCAAATGTCAGTTTTCAATGTAGAAATGTGTCAAAGCGAGTGAAAAGGTTTTGTGGAATGCATTTGAACAATTCAGTTCTAATCTGAGAATTGTGCCAAAGATTCTGTGAAATACGAAACTAACAGCAGTGATGTCCCATATTTCTATTATTGTAGTGATGATGTAAAGCAATGACGTGTCTGACTCTAGGCTGCATGTGTCTACTGTATATGAGGGGAGATCAATAGGATATATCTATACGACCTTAATCATGAAAATAAAAAAATTAAAAATGTATTCTATTATCAGTCACCCCCTCTCCTCTTCCTCCATGTGTTCCCTATTTTTATGTCTTACACTTTTTTCTCCTTCCTCTCCTCCTTCTCACTGCCCCGTTCTTCTTCCATGTTACCCTGGCAACGCTCCTATAGAAAACGCTTGTTGCCTAGGCCACACATAAGAAGCAGTGTTCACTGGAGGGATGGAGAGATGGAGAGATGGAGAGATGGAGAGATGGAGAGATGGAGAGAGGGAGAGAGGAGAGAGGGAGAACTGGAGAGAAGTGGACCAGCCTTGACCCAACTGAGCTCACCTTTACCCCCAGAGCAGAGTGGCTGCCACCAGTCCTACGAGGAAGCAGGTGGTGTTGTACAGGGGGATTTCCTCCTAAAGTGGCATGTTTTAATGACATTTTTCACAGCGCATTTGATCTATACTGCCTATGTAATATTTATGTGCCGTGATGCATAGGGAAACAGCTATGTAAGTGACCTAGAAACATGGCAACATATTCTTTTGACCTTTATATTGTGGCAACTAAGAGATTTAATTTTTTCTCATACAAGATCAAACAAGTATATTTAATTCAGTTTTAAATAAAAGTCTCTTCATTCAAAAGCTCACATTGTAGTAAAATATAGTATCCTGTACTGTTACTTTTTTATTGTATAGACCTACTAATTATGCAAATTCATTCAACAAGTTAATGTTTTTTGTTTTTTTTATAATCAGGCATTTATAATTTGCAATATTTGGTAGCTAATGCTAATTCAGTGTTGTTTTCTTGTCACAGTTGTCAATCCACATGGAGGGCATATGCTTATTTGAATAGGCTCAGGGATGTATAGTATACTGATTGCATCATATTTACTCAGATTTGGCTATATTTTATGTATATTATAGTGATTTATACAGTTTTTTCTCAATTTTCAAAATGTTTTTTTTGCAAAGATATAAATGCATTCCTAAAAATAATTCAGACAAACATCAAATTCATCAAATTAATTGCAACCTCCTCAAAATCCTGAGTTCATGTTACAAAATGAAGTCTTTCTCTCAGTGAACATGTTTTATCCTCTCAGAATGCACAGAACTCTGTTTATGGAACAAAGCTTTCAGATTATGTTCAAGCCAAGGCTCATGTTAGAAATATTTGTAAAAGATGAAAAAGGGGTTGTAATTGTTTACAGTATATTTTACTGACACCACTTTACTCTTTTTACTTTTAACTGATTGGTGTGAATGACTCACCTGTGATGCATTCTGTATTGGTGAGGAGAACCTCACTGTAGGATAAGTTTCTCCAGACCAGAAGACCTCACTGTAGTTTAAACCTTCTTCAGACCTCACTCTAGGATAAGCCCCTTGGATAAGCCCACAGCGTGTGTCACTTACCATTGTATGTCTCAGTAATAATTGGTTTCATCATTTTGGTGGCAACTGTTTTGAATGATTTGTCCAAATAGATGAGAGTCTCTATAAAGCACTTTGAACAGATTGACAAAAAGCAAATGACAGTGTCATGAAGAGGAGACAGTTATACAAAATAACTAGAAATAATGCACAAAAGCATTTGGTCTTTGGAAAAACAAACAAGAAAATGACTTTAAAAGTCATAAGTTAATCGTTTGCAAATGTAACTGAAGAATTTGAAGATTGATCTACTTTTGAAAGTTTCAGCACTGATCAGAAAAATATGTCAAAGCAACTGAGAAAAACTGTAAGATAAGAGAACCTTTATTTGTCTTACAAAGGGGAAATTCCAGTGTTATGCTTCATCTGCATGTCAGAGAAGAATCTTCTTCTGCAGAGAAGAAAAAATATTTTTTTCTCGCATTGGCACATTTTCTAAACTTATTCTAAATGTTGTGGTAGTTAAAAACTAAACACTGGTAACAAAACTATTACTTATATTACTTGTCAGAATATAATAACAATCATCAGATTTAACTAAATCTGACCTAACCTGGTTTATTCCACATTGATATGTGAGGCACTCTGAACTGAGTTCCAAACATCAATCTGGAACGGCTCTCGCTGAAAGCAATCGGGAAAAGGTGGAACGTCATGCAAATATTTGAAGCTGGTCGAAGCGACACAACAGCAGAACAAGCCAATAAATCAAACTTTTGTTAAATCCATTTGAGGTAAAAGCAAGAACATCAACAAATGTATAAAGTGCTTCTCTCTGGACATTTTTCAAAAACAAAATAGTTAGTATTTCTACTAAAGAAGGCTAAAGTACAGAACATCCATCCCTGTCGTCATGTTTGTTTTGGTTGGTTCGTGCGATATAGCGCTGTCATTGGCTTGAACCACTGTTGGCCCGGTCTGTATCACAACAGCGGGTAAAGGGCCAGATGGATTCTTATGAGCTTGTGAACTCACAAATATCACGAGAATTCATCTTGCTGGCCAGGTTCAATTTAACCATCTTCAAGATACAGGCTGGAGAATGCAATCGCACTTTTAGATGTGTTCTGCTAGGGAGTTAGAGATCTGTAAGATTAATATCAGCTCCGTTGGTTTGAGAATTTAATCTTCAAAATGGAAATAAGGTTGTGCCAATATGAGCTGAGGGTTTGTTCAATGAGTAACAAGTTTTGGAATTTGAGCCCAAATTTTGCTTTAGTGACAAAACCACTGAAAAAAGTTGTAACAGTTCAAACATCTTAGCAGTACAACACACATGAATCAATAACTAAACATAGCATCTGTTTTGTCCTGCTCTGAATTATGAGTCATTTGTAACCCGCCCTCTGATCTCCAGCACCTCAGTGACCCAAGTCATTTTTCCCTCCAAAGGCCTGAGAAAGGGAGACTGGAAAGCAACAGGTAGCAGTACTCACCTATCTCAAAGCTCCCATCAATGACACCTATCAGGTAACTGGGGATGTCAAAGCGCCTCTCCAGCTGCGTTATTGTGCTCTTCATGTAGCTCCCCGACAGTGCCTTCGCAAAATAGGCAAAAGACAGAGCTACAAGGAACATCTACGGGCCCACAAAAGAGAGAGAGGGAAACATACAGTATGATTAAAAACATAAAAACACTCAAAGTGTGGAGAGTCTTGATAAGTAATGGAATTATTCATGAAACAGAAATAGATTTGCTAGACAACAATGAAATAAGTGTGCGTATGGAGTAGGAATGTCACACATTTTACAGTAGACCATCTTCTAACTCAGAAAATCCTTGTGCATAAATGACCTGTATTCTGACTTGAGCTTTTTTTTTCAAGCAAAGCCAAATATTAGTTACTATAATTATCAGCATCACATTACATCACATTACAACCAAACAGCAATTCTGATGAAAAAAATTATATTGTGGGATTTTGGGGCTCACTTGCTTAAACATCAACAAACACATTTAAACACCTTTTTAGTATATTCAGATTTGGAACTGATATTTGCAAAAGAAAAAAAAAAAAAAGTCCATATTGCCCACCCTTGATGGGAACAGCAATGTGTTCTATATGAACACAAGTTTGTCACATCAGATTGAATACATTGTGTGGATTGCCCTCATTAACCTACTTCTACCACCATCCATCATCCAAAAACAAAAGGTGCACAAATGGAAGTTACATAGAAAAGAAGTTTTGCTTGTGCTTATACAGACAGCAGAAAAGGTCTATGCATTCTAAGCATGTATATAGGAGCAGTGGGGCTGCCTGTAGCTCTGAGCCAGTACCTTGGTCATGTGTATTGACTGGAGAATACATGTTTTCACTGTGCTGAAATACCACGTGATCAGGGAGAGAATGTGACATGCACAAAGGAAACCTTGGTCTGGCCAGGGTCTGAGTTTAACTCTTTACAGTGGCCAAAGAAGGGCCTGTTTCAACATCATTGTTAATAATCACATTTTCACATTTTAGATAAGTCCCATGTTCTTGGTCTAACCATGAAACTGCATAGAGTGAGGAAGAAAACATTATTGACTTGAATGTAGTCAGTGTGTGCTGCTGAAGGCTTGTAAATAAGTTATGGTTTGTGGCCTTGGACACGGTTTCTTCTCTGCAGAACTGGAGATTCAGTTCTGTCGTGATAAAACTACAGCACATGAGAGTCACATTACACTAATAAACACCCATAACCATTGTTAAAACCAGAAGAACATGTAGTACATGAATCTACAGAGGCAACCTTTAAAGAAGGTTTTAGAGAAGGAAACCACTCAACGAGCTGCACTAATAATAAACACTGATCTCTTGACCTTGGAGTAGGAGTCAGCTGACTATGTGACTAATTTGATTATGGCATATTATGGTATTCATAAAGAAAATGTTAATAATATAGAAAGAATTTGTTTAATCTTTTGTATGTTTGAATGTGTTTTGTATGTATGCAAAACATGTCAAATCCTCCAGCTATGTGCCCCTGACCAACCCTAGCTCAGGGTTTAAGCAGGAACAGTGCAGGAGCTTATGCTCATTGCAAATCAAAAAAGACCAATATGACGAATATTATAATATGTAAAAGCAATCTACAAACTCCTCGTATGTGTAATTATGATGAATCCTGAGCAGCATAACATTTTACAATGTTATAACACAAACTATAGGAAGAATAGAAGATTTTCACAGCTGCCTCCAGCTCAGGATGCAATAAGCTTCACACTCATAAGTGTCAGATTTGGTGGTAAGAAGGGGCTTAGCATTTCAGTAATCAAAGACGATTGTTACATGTACCTCAAAAAGGACATTCAGTGTGAATTATGCACATTTATATAATGGTCAAACCAAAGCCCATGTAGAAAGAGTGACACATATGATTTACTTTTATGTGAAGTTCACTTTAACATTTTTTTTTTTTGAAACTTGATCATTCCATTCAAACATGTAACTGAACAGGGCCACAGGTGGGCAAATCATTTGGAATATTTTTCATCAGTTCACACAGTTCTCAGGCTCAAGAACACTTGATTAAGGACACTGGCCCAAACTCTGTCGCTTTCAGTATAGAAATTCAAACATAGCAACAATAAACTATCATTTGTGAGCACTTAACACCATCTAACACCAAAAGATTTCACACATGAATCAATCAGGGAGAAAACAGACTACAACACTGAATAGAGACACCCTATATACAGTATACTCCTAAACAAACAAAACCACTTCTGCTCATCACCAGATAAATTAAGCATGCGTAAATAATGACTGATGGCTGGTCATTAAAAATAACCATGGCCCAGTAAAGTGCACCTTACACAAAGCTCTCTCCTTGTGACCTGTGCCCTGGTTTCATTGTTAGTGCATTGATGTCACCTGCATAAGGTGCTTAGGCCTGTGCTCTCAGGAGGGGCTCACACACTACACCATACACACACAACAGACTTCCATGCATTGTGGGAATTACATTGATTTATGCTTGCTTCATGAAGACTGATCATAAATGTAACCATAATAACAAATTGCCAAACCTAAACTAATTATTTAACCTATACTAATACATATCTTAATTTAGTTTGTTGTTTTACTATTGAAGGATTTATCGGGGACCTGATTATTGGACCCCATAAGCAAAATGAGGAATTAAAGTGGGCATGTACTGTGTATACTGAATCATCTTGCATACAGAATAATGCAGTTCCACTGTAAAAAAAAAAAAATAATTAAATTTTTTTTTTTTTTAAAAAAAAGGCCCTAGGGAGTAAAGCAGTTTACATGTGGCTAAAAAATAGCCACTTACAGTGAACAAGGTGTGAGTGCAGAAATAAAGAACTCTAATTGGGGACATTTTAAGAAAGTCATACACAGGATTAGAGATCAAAGGGCCACACTATGTTCCACCCAGTAGGCCACAGAGCTGAACAATTCCTAGAAAGAATCAAAGCATGTGCTGCCATTATTTTAAGCTGTCTGTATTATTGTACGATACTTAAACACTATTGTCTCATGTAACTTTGATGTGGTAAAAGCAACACCAATCTGATCCCATTTCAATTTGACCAACTTTCATGTCAATGCATTTTAAATTTGGGAACATTTTATTTTGCTTCAGGACAACATGAAACCAAAACAGTCATCAGAAGAGGAATTCACCTTAAACTGGCAAATAATATAATTTCACACACTATAAAGAATTCTCACAATATTGTGAGTCTAGGCACTACACATGTCCATCTGGCAACAGTAAGGTTAATTAAGGTTGCACTAAAGCACATTAAAAGTTTTGAACATTTACCAAAAAACACTCCCTAAAATGTAGAACTTCCCATGACTAGTCTTTGATCCAACTAGGCTCTTTTTACTTCCGCATCTAATCTTTAGGATTGCTCCAAAACCCAAACTCACATTGGGCAGTGGCCTAAAGAAATGACAGAAAGAACAAATGCTCAGAGAAATGTCAGTATAGACTGAATCCACAAACACACAAACTATGGAGAGGAGGGGTGACATGTGGATGCCACAGACCATTTTGTTAGACATGCTGGTTATGGTATGGATTGGAAACCATAACCTAATACTCATTATGTGGCATACAATTGCATTTAATGCCTAAAATCCTTAATAACATTAGCTTTATCAACTGATAATAAAGCAGAGAGGACAATAATGTTAACAGTGTTATTGTATGGGAGGTGCCCTTTTCAGATCTTTGTCAGATACATTGGAGGTTAATCCCTCAACCCTTTAGTCTCACATTAATTTGCCTTATTTTAGATCAGGTCTGCCATAGAGCAGCTAATTGAGTTATCCAGTTAGTCAGCTAAATAAGGCGAACATACAAAACAAGCATGTGATCTTAGAGAAAATACTCCATTTCTCTAAAACAGTGCAGAGGAAAAGTAAAGCTGTCACTTTCAACAGAAAAAAAAAATTATAAACGTACATGATCATATGTACTAGCTTCACAAATATGTCACTGGTGTCTCCTGAGGTTTTTTTTTTTTCAATAATCTTTGTGTCTAAAATTTCGGTGTAAATGTATGTTATATCCACTGACAAATGTCTCTCGCTTCTATACCTTGAGGCTGGAGCAGGAAGTGTAGCGCGTTGCTTTGGCCTTGGTGTGGCAGCGTCCATTTTCCTGAACACCATCATGTTCTTCCACTGCTGCCACCTCCATCCTCCACAAGTCTCTGAACTGCACAGCTCCCACACAAGGCACTTTCTTGGTGGTGATGCATGCAACCCTGCAAAGAGACAATTCAAGCATGTGACCCACTTTTCATTCTCAGAACAAGCACAAGGACAACTACAACAACTGAGACAGAAATGAAGATGTCAGACAATCATGTGTGCACTGGCAACATAAACATTAAATGGTAACCTGAATTTAAAAACCATGTCTCACAGGTGTAGGACAAGCATCAAGCTAGAGGGCATTATGCTTTTGATAATAATAACATATTATAATAATATAATCATGATAATCATGAGCATTGTTGGATGTTGAATTCTCATACATTTCAAAGGGCCAATAGCATGGTACTAAAATTTTGTCCTGAATTTGATCTAGGTTAGTCTTAGTTCCTAGAAATCACAATCAAGGCATGTTATTTGCATATTACGGAATAGTTATGATCCGTTTTAATTTGTACCACAGATACCACAGTATCTGTTTGTTTTTTTTTTATTATTATTATTATATATATATATATTTTTTTTTTCTCAATTAATCCAGCTCCCTTGAACATCCAAAATTACAACACAGGACTTGCCTTGCTAAAACAAGCGTAACCCCTTTCTTTGCAGGATATCCGCAAAAGAGTCCATTCTGTTATGGCTATCACTCATGCGTCACAGCAACAAGGTCACAGGTTTGACTCCTGGGCCAACTCCAGCCTTTCTGTGTGGAGGTTGCATATTTTTACCCATGACAAAGGCACATTCTTCTGGGGACTCTGATTTCCCCCACATGCACAAATAGATAAATTCACCAGGGGCATTGAAGGATGGGTCAAGTTCAGAGGGAGTAATATACCTTCACAATAAGTTATATATGTAAGAGAAGTGTGGTACTTCATGTCTAGGGTGGTTATAAATATTAAGGTTAAGGAGTACAAAGGAGTACAAAGGAGAACCATTGTACCATGTACTTAAATGTAAGCATTCTAATGGAACATAAAAGTGGCCAGGTTGAATTTAAGTCTCCATTGAGCTGAACAGTTTAAACATTTGAATCACGCATTATATGACATCCCATAATACTCACGGGATGGTTGATGTACTGAAAGCTAGACAGTATTCAAATATGTATATATATATATATATATATATATATATATATATATATATATATATATATATATATATATATATATATATATATATATATATATATATATATATATATATATATATATATATATATATATATATATATATATATATATATATATATATATAGAGAGAGAGAGAGAGAGAGAGAGAGAGAGAGAGAGAGAGAGAGAGAGAGAGTTGAGAGAGGCTATTAAGGCCAAATTGGCAATTAGCAAAAGAATCCAGTCCCAAAGGGGTCACAGGCCATTGTGGAGAGGAGCTTGCAAGAGTCAAGAGTACAGTAGCAAAGGCATCCACTGGAAAGAAAAAGCAAGAAGATAATAATAATAAATAAATAAAGATATAAAGAAATAAAGAAATAATAGTACAGTCTGAAAGGTCAGTTTTATCACTGTTAATTTGTCACTCTGAATGAACTCACGATTTTTAGTTTTAAAACAGTCCTCTTTGGAGTGGTAGGTCCTAAATGTAGATTTGAACTGTTCCTTTAAATCCTGTCTATACTGTATATGTGAAAATAGATACTGTGTATATGAAAAATGAAAGTAAATATATTAATTGGGTTAATAAAAGCATATATGATACTGAGAAGTTGTCACATATACTTCCTTTTCTCTACATTGTGACACCTACACCTAGGAATAGGTGCTGGGCGATATGGCTTCTGTTCTTCACTGAGTTTTAGTTGGTCTGAACTTAGATTTAGTTGCTCTGAATTTGATTCTTGTTAAAGTATGGATCGAGTAGAGTGATCGGAGCTTGCAGCTTGACCTACATTTTCAAAACAGAATCCTTGTGAGTGAATGCAAATCAGAGGATTGAGCGGCGCTTTTGCATCACTCCCGAAGTTTTGAGTTCAGCAATCAGCAACAAGTGTGCGTAAAGTAAGACATCTATTTAGACGTCTTACGTCTTCAATATTCAAGATATTGAAAAGTCTTAAAAGTCTTTTAGTGTGAAACTATTCAAATATAAAGATGATAATGTAACTAGTGAACAGTAAATGCATACATTGAAAGAGATTTGAAGATCTGTTTTCCCATTGTAAGCAGGTTGTGCGGAATGTCAACGAGGCAGCTAGCCCTTGAGGCTTGACATAGCCTGAAGTAGGAATGTTGCTTAAAGATTATGCCGTAAATCTTGCACTACACACATGTCCCCAGCAGCAAGTCCCGTTCGTATAAGATAATTTGAACTCACTCGTGACAAGAAGCCTAAAAGTTGGCTCAGGGCGGTCAGAGTAATATATTCATTCCCTATTCATTATGACGCACCTGTGTTGTGGGAGCGCATCTGAAGTAGAAAGGCTGCATATGCTCTAAAATGACACTCACCTGTCCCGTGAAGCTGTGGTCCAGATACACCTCAACTGCGCTGCTCGGGAGCCAATGGGAAAGCTGCGTATCCTGATTCGAGTCTGTTTGGGTCAGACTTTTGCTGTAGTGAATGGCAACGCACGTAGAAGCACCTTGGGCGACATTTATCCCCGGAGTTCATTTCCAGTCGACTTCAGGGTGAAAAGGCTCTCACAGTCTGACTAATCCAATCAAAAAAGGAATTTTATCTGATGGAACACGTCTGTCTCCTCCCTGTGTCATGTATGTGAGCCGTTACGCAGCCCGGTGATACGCTCCTTACGCAGCTCACCCGGGACCACTCTGAAGCAGATAGGCAGGGATGAGGCGTTCACTGGGGAGGAAGGTTTGTCTGTATCTGAGGCCGTCAGTGGCACACGCCTTCTCCGCTGCTCCGCTGCCTGTTCCCGCCTCTTTTCTATCATTTCTCTTCTCTCTACATCCTTTTCTTCCTCTCTGTCTTAAGGTTGTTCAAAGCCACAATCTTGTGCCAAGGTGACAGTGGAGGGTCCACTTTTTCCAATGTGGTAAATGTGATATTACATGTTATTGCAACCAACTAAAGTTTACAATTTTGTTGAATTTCAATAGAAAGAATTGGTTCATAGTGTTTTTCAAATTTATTAAGAGAAGTTATCCTGTCGCTTAATATCACCCAAAGCATAGTTTTAGTCGTATTCTGGTTTGAGGGAGGGAGACTGTACCCGGTAGTCCTTTTGCACATTCACTCGAGGAGCATAACAGATCATAACAGATTTTACCATTTCCTCAGACCAAAAGCTCGACAGTGTCATTACAGTTATGCATAAGTAAAACATTTGTTGTGTGTTTTATCTGGTCACATCCAACTAACAGTCTGAGCATCAAAAAAATATTGTCTGGGGAAATGTAGTTAATTACAGTTATGGCACAGAGTTGAGAGGGAAAAACTCAAAATTCCTGTTTCTGATTGATTATTTTGTGTCTGTAGTTCTGTATTCATTGTTTAAATCTATAGAAAAGGATTATTCATGTAACATGTAACAAGTGATGTATCTCTGTTGCTATGGTGACATCTTGGCCATGAAATATAAAGAGTCTCTATAGAATGGCATATTAATACATATGCAGAAACCTCAACTAATTTTGAGATTACCTAGGGCAGCAGTGGCTCAGTGGTTAGAGCACTGCTTAACAACCCTATATGACCACGGTGTGTCAGTGACCGTAGGAGGAGGTTTTTCAGAAGGACCAAAGGGGCAGATAAGAGCCTCACAAAATCCAGGACAGTGGTCAAAATTAGTAGCCTCCCTCCAGGGTGGTCACTTTTCGATGACACTGATATCTTATTGTTGGACCTACTTTCCATAGCAAGGCCCCATCCAAAACTGAAACAGAGGAATCGTAAATGGAGTGGGAAGTATGAGCATCTCTGCTAAGGCGGCCTAAAACCAGGCCCCTACAAGCAGAAAAAGCAGTGGATGGATCTTTTATCCACCCTCATGGTCAGCTGGTCTGTACCCTCTCATTCTCCCTGTGCCAATCAGCTTTTAGCTTTGTTACACTGTTCCAGTCAGTCCTTCTGCTGCCACAATCTTCACTACAGCAGCAGAGTCATGAGCCACCTCTCTGTCTTCACTCCATCTCCTGTTCACCTCCTCTGTGTTCAGGTTCTGGCCTGTCATCATGTTACATAGTTCTAAAAGCTTAGTTTTTTGCCTCACTCATTAGTCTGTGCATGAGGTTAATACTGTGCACAGGGCTCTCAAGAAGTCAATGAGTCGCCAGAATATTTAAAAATCTAAACAGCTTAAAGTGGAATTTCATTCCTCGGTGAAGCTTAAAGAACATTTTTTGACTTGCCCCAATTTCCCAACAAACAACCTGCATGGACACATACGTAAAACATGCTGTAGCTGGGGTTGTTGTTCAAATGAAAACCATAATCTAAAAGCATGTTTGTACATTTGTTTGCTGTGAAGAATTGAATACATTTCCATAGTATGATTTGAAAGTCAGTGCCGATATGACAAGCTGACTCCCATGAATGCTCATTATCTGCTGAGGTCCAAGGTTGCTATTGAGGAGATAGAAGACCCAGGGGGAGGGAGAGATCAGTATAGATGAATATATTGAGTGCTGTAACATGTCATATCTGTCAGAATTTTATACTAGCATGTAAAAGTGAATTCAAAGGCTCTCTGACTAGCATCGCTCACAGTAACACCTCATCCACATCAAATCAAGATGAACTACTTCCAACAGCATTGAAAAACATCATTCAGCCTGAATATGGGTGGATGGATGTGGTACTCACAGGCTAAGGCCCAATTACTTTCATTTATTTCTCCAAATTAGAAAATGCATTATCTTCTCGTCAGCATACAGGTGTTCTATAGTGAATACATTTATTCTGTATTGTTGACATTTCAAACAACAAATGTGGAAATGTGAAATTAGATGCATGAGAAAAACTGTAAAGAGCAGCGCATTGTGGTGCCCAGGGACAAATCTCCAGATCTTAAGCTACTTTTGTTCAGGGTTACCTTAACTGCAGGACTTTACCAGTTGTGCATGTTTTGGGTTAATGGGGGAAACCAAGTACCCAGATGTTAAAGAGTTTTTCAAATGCTGTATAGATGATTCTTTGTCTTATTTGATCAAAAGGTATTCCTCAAAGTGTATTTCTCACGGGAAAACCAACTTCTCATTAGTCGTTATCTTCCCCAAGGACAGTCCTCCCTACGCACATCCCTTCCTTACACCTCAGCAGTTGGCACACACACACACACACACACACACACACATACAATACACCTTTATTCTCTGTGTTGTTTACTGTGATAGAAAAATGTAACTGCCCATTCATTCTTGTAACCTGTGATTCAATAAATACATGATGTTGGAAGGTGGTTCTTCAGCAGTTTAAGGGAGCTGTAGCAGCGCCACTGTCCCTTGCCGTGAGTAAAAACCCTGAATTCTGCCTTCTGAGTTTCTTTGTGTTAATATCTCTGTTATTTTCTGACACCAGAGGAAACCCATCCAAACACAGGAAAAAACATGCAAACTAAGCACAGAAATGCCCAGGAGGTCTGAGAGTCAAAACCCAGAACCTTCTTGTTATGAGGTGACAGTGTTCGCCACTCAGCCCGGTTTTCTGGGGATTCATTGTCACATTACATGTTAATCAGACTGATAAATAAACAGACAGACACACTTTCAACCTTTATAAATCTTATTATTCAACAATATTCACATTACAACATCAACACTGCTCAGCTAGTGACGGGGTCTAATAATCCCATTATATTGTATAGTTACTCTGTTATACATTATCAAGAGGCACTTCCAGCATGTCTGGCAATAGAGGAGCTACAGTATTGTGTCTTAATTACAAAAACAGTAAAAATAAATATTTTTCCCTAAAAGTTTTATGTTATACTTTTTAATCTGTACAGTATATAGTATTTTATACAAATTAAAACAAGCAAGAAATCAAATGTTACTTAAATACTGGTGAATCATACAATATTTCCCCATCCTTGTAGTATTGCTACAATGTGTTAAGTGCAAGATACTGAGAGTAGAAAAGTCTCTGAAGCGCCAGCTGTTATAGTACAGGTACAAACACACCATTCTTGTTTGTCTTGCTTTAAAGGTGTTTTTGTTTGGTTTTCTTCCGGACAAACAAGGGAAGCTAAAGAATATAGCATTCAAATAATGTATACATAGACTCTGAAGACATACATGTGAAAATGGCATGGCACAGGAGTCCTCTTTTGTAAATGGTTCTAACAACAAACAATAGAAAAAGGAATGTTTTGGTTGGACTCTTCAAAGGAACTCCAGGGGCTCCGGTGAGAACAGAAGACTCAGTGCCATTGTAGCGCTTATGGACCGAGAGACGGCCGTTCTGCTGAATACGGCCAGATGTGGCTTCATAAATCTATGTTCCAAGTGGACACAAAGAGAATGTGTTCAGATCAGAGCAAAACACAGAGTTGGAAAAGTTTCTTTGGTTTGCACAATGGAACTCAGAGTGCAGTCTTCATACTGGCTGTAGACATTGCATTCTCAGAAAATATGCAATGCTTATATGGTAGTCTGTGGACCTATAAAATGCTTGTTTTTAACATGTATAGTCATAAACTATTCTCTCAAGTGTCAAGCAGCACATAAATAGTACCTAATGACACACATGACAATATGTGATGAATCCAATCATTTCCCCAGACAAGATAGGATTCAAGGTCAAGATTTGGGATGCAGTACTTGGAAACGTAACATGTTGCAAAAAAAATTCTCCCAAGTATTTTTGCATGTGGTACCTTCTGTCTTGGACCACAGGGTGAAAAACTGGCCAAGTTTGTACGGAAAAAATGTTGGGACTTGTTGTAAAATGCAATGCAATGATTAGAACATATATTCCTATACTGTACTTACTGGTTTCAGGTTTTCACCGTGCGTTTAGGTCGGCTTTGACTCTAACTCACACACACAAGCACTGCCGTAGCATAATAAATAATAATAAATAACTTTACCAGATATGAGCCAATGTCTATCACAGCTTGTATGAAGTCTTTTGATTGCTGTGTATACAGTTAGTGAGGTGGCAAAAAAAGAAAACAGATCAGGAATTTGGGTTTACATACAATTGAAAACATAATAGCAACATGCACAGTCATTATAAAGTAGTGAGGGACTTCTTTGCATTAGTTGCATATTATTTATCAGGCCTGGTATCAGGACAGTGAGGTGAGAGGGTATTACAGTGCACAAAGCTCAAGCTCATTCACATGTGCAGACTGGTAAGAAAAAGGTGGTACCCACTAGTTATTATAGATTTCAAAATGTTTTTGTTTTTTTTTCTTTTTTCCTGTAAGTGCGAAAAATTAGGCGTTGTCTATAGATGACTGCTGCTACAGTGCAATTACACAAAGAGGCAAAGCAGGCCATGATTACTCAGAAGGCATAAGAAATACCACTTGCCATTTCGCTTAATGTTTTAAATCTCAGTCCGGCTGTCTCGCTACATACTGTATTCTACAAGAATATTGTTCAAAGAAATGCAGCTTATCAGTTAAAAGCTATTTTTATAAAAAAAAAAAAAAAAAATTATATTTTATACAGTTAACGTACTTCTTACAAGTGAATGCAAAAATGTAATGGTTTTGTATCATTTCATTAGAATTTGGAAAATATATATTAATATTTAGAAAAGAAAATTAAATTATCCACCTACTACTACCGGTGCTGGTCCCAAACTGAGTAAAGGATTTTGGTTGTGACAGAAAGAACATCCAGTTCAAACCACATGAACATGGAAGAAGGGATAAAATAATAGCATTATATCTTAAAATTGATTTGATTGAACTTTTTTTTTTTTTTATTTCGATATTTTTTTGCTCTTAAATTCAAAATTTGTATCTTCACTGCATGTAGTTGACTGAAATCATAATATTGTGTGTCACAGTTAAAAGCATTGAACATTTTTCTAAGCATGTAATGTCCTCTGAGTATGCCCAGTATAAAACTACAGTTCAAGTGTATTAGACATTTTTCACATCCACAGCTACAAACTGGAGTCCTTCATGCTTTGGCTGGTAGAGAGTAAGCAGTGAAGGGCATAATGTAGCACAGTTTAGCCCTCCTTTGCACAGTTGGCATTTTAAGAACAGTGCAATGGATACAGGCAAGGATTTAAACAGTATTAACACTAAAAACTCCAATTGAAATAGGAAACTGGGTCACAGCAGCTACAGCCAAGATGAAAATGTTACAAAGCATCTGTAAAATAATTCTGTTTGGGTCTATGGTTGTTTAAAGTGCAACATTTAATACTGGACAGGTTGAAACGTTTTAAATGTTGTTTCTCCTCTTCACTGAGTTTTATTTCATTGTTAAAAAATACAACCTTCTTAGTGTGATTGAATGTGGCCTCCAAGGAGCAATTATGGCAACATTTCCTATGGCTCTGATTAATAATTTGTAATTGAAATTTAACATTTGACTGAAATGAACACAATAAAGCAATGGTGATAAAATTATATAATAATAATAATAATAATAATAATAATAATGTTTAAAGGTCCTATATTAGACCAAATGGATTCTTTTGAGCTTTAAGCCATATTGTTTTGTTTCATTCACTAATTATTTATTAATCAAATTTGTCTAATTAGTCTACATCTCAAAAACTCAAAATGCTCTGTTCAACATTGTGATGTCATGTCAAGGTAGTTTTCAAGTTAATAGCTACCTTTTACCTTTAGATCAGTAGAGTTTGGCAATTCCAGGTCTGAGATCATCCAAATGATTCAGTGAAGGTGTACAGAGTTTGAAAACACAGTAGAGCACTTTCTGTATTACCACATGACATCAAAAGGTGGAACACAGTTTTCTGTTTGAGAAAAACACACCCTAAATATGCAGGGTGTGTGTTAAACATTTGTGAATGAAACAAAACACAACTCAGATGTGTCTGATGAGGAAACAACATTATAACATAGATCAATAAATACTTTAATATAGGCCCTTTAAATGTTAAATGTTATGATATTACAAACTAAAGTGATCAAGAATATTTTCTTATAAACACATGCACAAACAATACAATTTAAAGAAATAAAATAACATGTTCCAAATTGGAATATTTTAACAAAATGTTCACTAGCTTGATATATACTCAGTGCTTCTGAACCAAAAACCTTGTATTTCCAAAGCCAAATGACAGTCCTCACATCTCTAAAGTGCCTTTGTAGGAGTTATCTCTGCAGCTCCACTGCCTGCTACATATTACCTTCCATACATTTTACATATCTAAACCAAGAAAACTATCAGAACATGAGAATTGCTACTTCCTGCTGATTTATTAGTGGCTACAAGTCAAGGTAAAGTGTTCCAATTAGATGTTGCTTCATTACACTCTGTTTCTCATATTCACGGCTTCAGCTGTAACTGCTAATACATCTTTCTGCAAATCAAAAAGAAAACATATTAGGCTACTAACTGGGGTGGCAGAAGTTAGCATGTATGTCTGATGGATCATCACAATTTCATTTCAAAGCAACTCCTCTTGTATAAAAATGTCTACAGTATATGTGAACTCCATTTTTTTTTTAAGAAAGTGCCTGTGAGTAGCTGTATATTTGCATTTTGATAGTCTCCTAGCAGCCTCAATTTTGTAGGTTTTCTGGACAATGTTTTTTTGTTTTGTTTGTTTGTTTGTTTGTTTTGTCTGTAAAATGTTGATGACACCTATAGTAGCAGCAGGTTCTAGAGTGTAGATGCCAATTGTCAGGCATGTTAAAATTTTGGTTATAACTGGTCTTTAAAAAAATTAATTGTCACAATTTGGCCCTAGAAAGGCAAAACTCAGAAAAATGACTTCAAAGTTTCTGTTTTGTCCAGACAAAAGTATAATAGGCAGGGCTCCCAGAATTTGACAACTAGTTGTTATAATGAAGAAATATTTATATGTGAAAAATATTGAGCTCAAAATTGACCTTTGATCCTTATTTGAACTCAATATTTTTCACAATATTTATTCACATGATAAAGGAGGTCTCAAATACCCCCCAAATTACATTAACTCATTTTTGACCAAACATGATGTTACTGCTTTCTGCCTTTGTAGGGCAGAATTATAATGCTTTCAACATTCAAATCCCTGTCTAGTTTAAAACAACAAAAGCAAGTTAAAAATAGAACTGTGACTCATTTTTAAAGGTGTACTGTGGAACTTTTTGGCTGGGGGTCCATCACTTACTTGTTTCTATAAATGTGTCATTAGTTTGCCTGGAATGTTCCACAGTATGACGCAGCTCTACCTTACATTTATTAAATTAAAAGTGGTTTTACTGAAGACCTAGGTCCAAACAGCTTTCTGACTGTGAGCGGGGTTGCCTCTCCACAGAGCTGACCAGTAACTTGAAGGAGAAAGAAAGGTTTAATGCCATACTGTGGAACATTCCAGACAAAGCAATAACATCTCCATTAAGAAAAGCCTCACCAGAAAAGTTACACAATGCACCTTTAAAGTGAATTAAAAGGACAAGTATGAGAACTTACGGTCAACTGGAAAGAGTTCATTTTCAAAGCATTTCCTAATTGCATTTTTATGTTACTGCTGTAAATCCATTCTGTCCCGAACCACTATGGCTTACTGGATTACTATCTGCAAACTTGGCCTACATACCAGGCTATAAACTACCATACCATGTAAGGACCAAAACAACTACAAAGCAATTTATAATATACAAAATATCATAAAGTAAAGAGTGAATGTGGCATTGCTTGCATTTGGTTAGCAGTGATAAAATAATTACTTTTATACAGCTTTGTGTCATATTGTTATTAAAACCTTTAGTGACAAGTAAGTGCATGTACAAACTCTCTCTCGCTCTCTTTCTTCCTGAGTTAGGTGACCTCAAGCACTGTATATTGCAAGTAAGTGTGCTGAACTTGGCTAAGAAAAAATAAGGAAAAGAAACACGTGAGGAAGGACAAACAATCTTTTGTATGTTTTTCCTTGAGTGAGAATAAAGCTCTTGGGGCTGCATGTTTCTTTGTCACGCTTCCCTTTCTCAGTAAAACATTTTCAGTCGACTTGTAACTGTGACTGGCTATTTTTTTCTAGAGTCTCCAGGCTTTCATCCCATTGTGTAGGTACAGTGGGTGAGGTGGTTGTAATGGGAGGAGGGGGTGGGGGTAGGGTGGGATGCTGTATTTGTCATGTGGATATTAAAGAGTAAGTAAAATAGTTGTGGGCAAGGGAACGCATCCACACAATGAAAATAAAATAACAAGCATTATTTTTTACAGCTAGTTCTACTTTTCTGACGCTTCATCTTTTGCACCTCTCGCATTTAAGGTTAATTAAATATGCAATGTCCCTGTCCTCAAACCCTGTTATTATTAGGCACGTATTACCCAAAACATCTTCTACAGTGTTGTGTCAAAAGTGATGTGCTGGCTACCTTTATCAAGAGTTTAAATGAATAAAACTTTTTTTAGACAATGTTCCTGGTTGGGAGAGGTCAAAGGTCACTCTGGCTCCTCCTCCTTTTCCCCTGAAGTCTCTGATCGTTGCAGGATTTCTACTTCCTGTTCCCTGTCGTGGAGGCAGTGGGTTTCGTCTTCCTCCTCTTTACTGGCCTGCTCCTCCTCTTCCTCGCGGATGGCTGTGATGGCGTCGTTCGGGTTTCCCAGGCAGTTCAAACTTTCAGCTTGGACTTGCTCCGGGAATTCAGCCGCGATGACACGCTTCCACATCTCATGGTTCTCCAACAAATGCTGCGTGATCTGGCAAAACTTTCCGTCGGCTTTCCTTTTTGGTTTCTGTTTAGGCAGACAACAAAACAGAGAAATATAAACCTTTAGCGCATAAAGTTACAAACAAAGTTACAAAATACTACTTTTATTTTATAGATCATAAATAAATATGCATTTGCAAACCAGTGGCTCCACTGCTATTCAGTATTTCTGTATCTGATCCAAAGACACGATGGACTGAAAAAGGATGGAACAAGGTGCAAATGAGCACAGTGGTGAAAATGATCCTGTATCCACAACTGTAGAACACCGATTTTTCTCAAAACATCTTGGTCCAACGATATAGTGCATTATGACCAGAGCTGGTAGTGTACATAGATCCATGTACTTTCTCATTCATGGGTTTCAGCTTCCTGTTTATAGGTGACATTTTGAGTACCAGTCATCAAAATATTTCGTTTTTAGTTTGTGTTTGACTAGCTAATTGCTATGGACACACTGCTATTTTCATCAATTCTGAAATCCACAGATTAGCAGGAGATAAAATATCAGGATTTGTACCAGTGTTCTTGGAAAATGACCTCTCATCAGTTCATCTGATGAATGACTCTTTCCAATAAAAGTCTGTCAGTAAATAAATGGTAAATGACAAAATGAAATTAGGAAAAAGTGAATTTAGTTCAGTGTAAATTTGAAAAAAATCTAGATTATAAAAGTACCATTTATAATGTTGAACTGTTAACTCCAAATTAGATTTATACATAGATAACTCTACAATGACACACATCAGTAACAGACATACGTGAAGTGGCAGAAATGGTGGACACATCATCTTCAGCTGTATCCTCCTCTTCCTCCTCCTCTGTGTCTCTGTGTTCACTGGCATCCTCTGGCTCTTCCTCAGCAGAGTCCACCCAGCGGCCGGGCATGAGCGCAGCAGAGTGGTACGAGGAGCACAGGGGGCCCACGATGTGAGTGATGAAGGACTCCTGCAGTTTAGCCAGCTGTGGAGCTGAGCGGTCCATGAACGGGCTGATGGGGAGGCCCAGGCTGGCTTCTTCATCACCCTGACAATCACAACATTTATACAGAGATTAAAAAAAATATAGAAGTGATCTATGTGGCCCACTAAGAAAGTAAAGACATACTGTTCTATTATATTTTTGTAGTTAATGAATACTGCATCAGTTAAAATCAATTAATTATTTTAAAAGGAAATGGATATTTTAGAAGACATGGTTTAGATTTGACTATCTTAGACTTATTTTACTTATTTAATCAGATTCAGAATTTGTGTGCTAAAAATGTATAAAGGTGTATTTCGTTTATTTGTCTTACTTTGGAGTGAGATGAACAAAATTATGAAATCGTACAGAGAATACTATCTAATCCTAAATTTCACTGCAGGATTTTTTTTTTCTTTGTGAAGGGCATTATCTATTAAATGAACAAAATTAAATAAAAAATAAAATTGTACCTGTACCTACACAAGTAAAAATCAATCCTACTGTTTTGCTATACGGTACATTCATTGTGATATGTTGTTGATTGTTTGCTGATGGCAGGGCTTTCATGGTGATTATACTGTAGGTGGACACTGGGGTAAGGGCTCTCATCTCCATGGCAACCCGGCTCCAGTGCAAGCAATGCTGTTGTGTAGATCTATAGGTAACAGCGGCAAAAGCAGCGTAATGCATGAGAATTACGCTTTGAATAATTAAGTGATACAAGCGGGGCTAATGTTAGCATGCAGCTGGTTGCACATGTGTGCATATGTGAGCTTGGAGGCCTTATCTAGTGATGTGATCGCCATCTGTAAATGAGCAATGTCCAGAAGATGACATATTTGGGTCATATGCAGTGAATAAAAACACAGGCCCTTGATGTGCGTGCTGAAACATCATTCGTAATTCTCAATAAAAGGTTGGGATAAAACAGTGGGCTAAGGGATATCGGAGGTGGTAAGTTATCTAAAGAAATCGCTGCGCTTCTAAAACAAGGCAAAATGATAAGATTTGAGTCATACTGTTCACAAAAGTGAGTTTATAATTGTCAAAGAAACAGTTTGCATCTATTATGTTACATTCTGAACTAACAAAAGCTTATGACCGCCTTCCATAAAATAGATACCACAAACTCCACTTCCTCAATCTTATTTCATGCCTATTAATCGACCCTGTGAGGTTCCAATTACGGACTCCAAAGTCTCCAATTTTCGCCTCTATACTTAAAACCTTCTGTTGCTAGGGAACTAATCATACTTCCCAGGCTAATCAGATTTTATCTTTATGTCTTGCCATGCACCGGAGTCAACTGACCAATCACAATCACAGCAGGCTGAAAGTAGGATTTGCTGTCAAGCATCTGCAGTGGTTCATGAACAAATTCAGTAGTAGAGGCTATTATTGTCTATTTTGGTTCAAGAGGGCCTTTTTACACATACTTCATCACAAAAGCACAGTTCTCTGCTATGTAGTAAACCAAGGCCACATGCGAGAAGAATGTACAGTTTAGTTTTATAGCATACTTGTTCATAGAATTCGTTGACAATGCCTTCCGTCCATTGCAAATGTAAATCCTTATTCTTAAGAGGGCCGTTGACATCAGCAATCTTTATGCACATCTGGCAAACCAACATTCGGTCATTCTCATTGGTCCAATCAATACTGGAAACTCCTTCATCTCCAACCTAAAAAAAGAGATATAAATTAATGAAATATTAATAATATAAAAAAAATGTGCAAGTGTTGATAAAATATTTTACTTTTAGGAATGCATTTTGTATCAATTTGTCATACAGATTTAAGTGAGATTTGGACTCTTGTCCATGTCAAATCCTCGTCTAGTAAGTGGTCACTATATCTTTAGCATTGCACCAACCCAAAACTGTGTGTTAAATTTTCGTGTTTACCTTTGCATTAAATTCTGCAAGGAAATCAAAGTGCTTTTTGAGGTCAGTGGCCAAAATGGCCTCAATGACGAGGAAGCGGAAGCGTTTGAACTCCACGTGTTCAAGATTGGCTAGAAAGTTAAATTCAGGTTGAGACATGAAGAGGTTCCAGGCGGCGGCTGCATGATGGTTTTCTAAAACTGAGCGATCATTGTACAAAAGTGCCTGAAACAAAGGATATAAATTTTACTGCTTAATAGTCATTCTGATTATGGCCACATTATTAAGTAAAAAATAACCAGTCTCTGGCAGTTCAGTGCATTTACGCTTTATTAGATAGATTTTTGAAACTGAACTTTTCAGTGTGCTTTCAAATGTACTGTGTTTACCTGGGGTGCACTGGTGGCTACTAGAAAGGCATTGGTTCTTCCTGGATGGTCATAGTCATGCATTGCGGCTGCCACATACAAAGCCATGAGCTCCAGGCCGGGGACCAGACGAGCTAAGGAGCCATAGCCCTCCTCCAGCTCTGAATTTAACTTCAGAAAACCTGTTGCACCATGGCAGATGCCATTCTCTGAGTCTGGCAACAGAATAGACAATCATCATGTTCTAGTACATTCCTCAGGACTCCCACTGATGTACTAGTGCAGAGAACACCATTTCACCATCAGAATACAATAAATTACCTACAGCCACCACACAAGCAAACTAGGCACTAAGTGTGTTCACAGAGTGCAGCATGGCTGTTATGGTCCTTCGTACTTTTTCCTTCTTGCATTATAATACAAATGTTTGCATTGCAAGCTTCCTGTTTATTGAGATTGTTTTATCTGTCTTACCAGATGTATACAATATATAACTATCCAGTTATATTATCATGTTAATACCTGAGTGAATGCCATTTTCTGTGAGTGGGGTGGGCAGGCCAGGCACAGGCTGCGTGGTGAGGTACCACACAGCATGCAGTACATCTGTTGCATGAATCCTGTTGTGATCTAACAGAGACAAAAAAGGGATTGTAAAAATCATATTACATGTAAGTAAATGTGAATGTAGGTCTATGTAGATAATTGAGCACGTTACATTGATTATAACATTATTGAACTATACAGCCTCCTTGTGGCAGTTAGAGAGCATGACATGCGAGAGGGCAGTACTCACATGGAATGTCCCTGTAACCATTTTCTAGAGCATGGAAATAGTTCATAAACTCTTGAATTGGAATCTTAAACATTTCAAACAGGCCTGTCTCCTCAAAAAGCTTATAAGAAACCTGAAAAAACAAACAAAACAAAAAAACAAAAAAAATGCATAACTTATTTAAGAATTAACATTTAGAGATGTTTAAATTTTACCTTGTAGAACATATGTTTGGTACTAAAGTGGAATTTACCTGGCTGAGAATGCAGCCGGTCTTCCCGTTAGTCCTTTCAACCAGACTGAAAATAGGAAAATTCCAGTTGTTGAGCTGACTCATCAAAGGCTCTAGTCCTGACATAAGCGGGCGCTCATGGGCTGGGATGACTTTATCCTAATGGTATGGGGCACATGTTAGATCACTGTGATGCAACTTATTATACTTATACTTCATCCACCGCACAGTGAGGCAGGCATACTCATGTCCAATATGAAGTACCTCTGGAGATGGCAGTAGAGGACGTAGTACAATGCCCTCTGCTGGACATTGCCGGCAATTGTCCTTTCCTTCGGGCTGCTTCTTGGGCTCTCCATCTTCTTCATTGGGTGCAAAATCGCTGCTGTCACTGTGGTTGGTCTCATAGGTGCTATCATAGGTGCTGTCATAGTCTGAAGATGCTACTATTCGCTCATCTGGGGGGGAAATGTATTTTATTATGTAGTAGTACAGAATTTGTATTCAGTTATTATTATTCTGTTCAGTATATATATATATATATATATATATATATATATATATATATATATATATATATATATATATATATATATATATATATATATATATATATATATATATGTTTTAAACATGGATTCATTCATAATCAGGCACAGTTTGTAAGCTATTTCTCAGCGACAACAAACATTTAATCCATTTGTATTGTACCTGGATTAGGTATTCTGTCTACTTTGTCAACAGGCTCCACACCGTTGGTAATTCTGTTATACGGTCTGCCACAACTGAAAATGACAAACATATAATTTAAAAATGATTCCACATGAAAAATGAACTTAAACAAGGTTTGAGTTTACTTTTGATAATGTACAAAGTGTAACCTGGTGCAGAGTGATGGGGGTCTCCAGTGAGGGGTGGTGGAGCTTGGCGCGCTCTGACTGTGGGTTAAGGCTCGGTGTTGGATCCTGGGGGCCACAGGCGGGCGCTCTGCGGGGGGCCCCACAGGCTCTGGAAGCTGCACTGAACACGTTTTGATGGTGGGACTGGTGACCGGAGTGCCCTGGACTGGAGGGGAGGGGCAGGGGGTGCCCAGAGGTGAGGTGTTGGAAGAGGGGAAACCTGAAAGGCAAGTACCTGACATTAGAGTATTATATTGACATGTGTTTCTGAAGGGTGGTTGGCACTCACCTGATTTTCCCAGTGGTTTGCTGTACAGATGGTTGGTGATGGAGGGGGCACAGGAGGCAGACATGGAGCGACTCTTGGAAATGGTCATCATGACAGAGTTGCTCCATGATTCACTGTGTTACAAAGGAGAGATGCACCATTTTAAATGATCCAGGACTGTGGGAAATTACAGTACATATGGTGATCGTATTTTAATAAGGTGTGCGGTGTGTGGTTTCAAATGGAATGACTTCCTGAATCAAATGATTTTCATAATGGTCAATTAACATATATCACAATATTGTGTGTGTTTGCTGTGTCTGTTACCTGTCTGCTGGGTGTTTGCTGTGTGTGTTATCTGTCTGTTGTGTGTTTGCTGTGTGTGTTACCTGTCTGTTGTGTGTTTGCTGTGTGTGTTATCTGTCTGTTGTGTGTTCGCTGTGTGTGTTATCTGTCTGTTGTGTGTTTGCTGTGTGTGTTATCTGTCTGTTGTGTGTTTGCTGTGTGTGTTATCTGTCTGTTGTGTGTTTGCTGTGTGTGTTATCTGTCTGTTGTGTGTTTGCTGTGTGTGTTATCTGTCTGTTGTGTGTTTGCTGTGTGTGTTACCTTTCTGTTGTGTGTTTGATGCTGGCTGAGCGCTCTCTCCTGACTGGGCCGGGCTCGATGGTGGGCAGTCCTGTGGCTGATGTGGTGGTGGTCCAGGTGGAGGAAATTCTCCGTAGTAAACCTGGAGGAAGGCTTCTTCTGAGACGCTGAGGAAAACAAAAAAGACATTTATAAATCTTAAGCACAAAAATGTTGAATCACTGTACAGTGAGGTCAGTGGGTATAAAGAATTACAAATTAATCATTTTTGAATTTGCTTTTAGTCAATCAAGAGTTACGACATTATATTTCATGGCAAAAGCAGAAAGCAGAGGGCAGCATAGGATCACATTTTAGAAAATGTTGACACAACAATCTCCAATTATTTTCTGCTGGGCATGTTTCCTCCTATTAGTAAAATATTCATAAAATATTTGTATTATTAGAAAAATATGCAATTTAAATGCATTTAAATTTAAATAGATGTAATGATGTAAACCCGTGCACTAATAATAGTAATAACAATAATAATTTTTTGTTGTTACTTAACTTAATATGTTTATTCTGTAATATACTGTTCTTGTCTTGAATTTCTATGCATGTGATGGTCTGGCTTTATATTCCACATGCACATCCGATTAGCATGAGTCAAAATGAGGAAGTGTTTCATCATGGAGCGGCGATTTGAGTGCATTCAGCCATGGTTAAAGGTGCTAGTGCCTTCTCGGCTGGACGATCTTGCATTGCATCACACGCTTTATTTAGTTCCTGGCTTTTTGCCCAAAGTGCCTGCATACATTGTGGAGGATGCTCTTGTAGGGTTTGTATAAGTAAGAACATATCTTTTACATATCTTTTATGTATGTGTATATGTCCAGTGTATGTTGAAAATATTTTCTAATTTATGTTCCCTTGAATTTCAGTCAGTTTTGACACAGACAGTATACCAGTACTTCAGTGTGAGAAACACTAAAGATCAAGAAAATAGAAGAAGTAAATTGTAATTGTATACCTTTGGAATGGCAAGTCTTTCGATCTTCTCTGGCCCCTCTTCTGAATCAGAGCAGGCGTGTGATTGGTCGGTGGGGAGGCGGGGTCGGTGCAGGGGCTGCAGGTTGATCTGTGTGCTCAGGAGGTTACTCACTGCCTTCAGAGAACTGAAGGTGTTGGGGGGCAGAGAGGGGTCAGCCAGGAGGTCTGAAATCAAGCCATGAGCCTCCCCCATCACAGCGATATCCACTACCACACTGGTGCCAGACGACTGAGGGACACATACACACACAGGGCATTAGTACTGGCTCCTAGGTGAAAGGATCTCCAGGACCTCATTGTAGGTGTGAGACTGTTAAAGAAGACACACAAATGCAGTTGTAAATACTATGATGCCACAGCTGTTTCATACTCTGCTGAAAACTGAAACTGAAACAATATACACAATATACTTATTTCAAACAACAACAATAACTTGCTAAAGAAAATTTTAAATGTATGAATTCACTGCAATCAAGCACATTTTCACCATAAACTTGCACCTTTTCTATACTGTAGGGATGGGAAAATATTTCATGCTATTTAAAACATTAAATTACCACAAGATTGTGCACACATGTGGAGAGTGGTGAATGATTTTTTTCCCCTCATTTGTTTACTTTGGACTATAAAAGTGATATATACTATAAAAATTAGCTAAACCTAGAGAGAAGCTGTAGATGCAAAAAGTGGTGAAACAATGACAAAAAGGAATATAAAAACAAATACTGAGGCCAAAACTGTGAACTGAACTATGCAATGTATTGCCTGCAGGCTAGTATATCCAACCAAATTTTATGAAGACACTTCCTGCTATTGTTAACTGTTAACAACTGCAGCTATTACATGGTACAGCTTTGCATCTTCAGGTCAATAATAAATCTAGCCACTACAATTTTAACTCATTGCAACACAGTAAAATTGAGTGAACAATCTCTCCACGTTACATTATATTTCTGTATGATCTCCCTGTGTTGGGGCGTGTTACCCACCATCACATGTTTAGAACAATAACAAGAATACATGAGCATATGGTGAGGTCAGCACTGCACTTTTCATGCATCCTTCTTGTCTATTCAGCTGTGCCAACACACACACTCAATGATCTGACATGATGGCCCACTATAAGCCTGCACTTGCCCATCTGTCCCACCCCTGAGGCTGCAGCATGCACTTACTCACTGGCAACAACCTCTGCCTTTGCCACGTCCTATCTCCAGTCAACTTGATGCCTCCTATTTTGAAAACATTTCTCTAGCTTCAATGGTCTCACCCCAACAAAAATCACATAATTCATAGCAAATGAGACATGATGCATTATCAAAACCCACCTAGTAATCTGTTGTTTTCTTTTTTGTAAGTCAAACGGTGGAGATGACAGGTACATAAAGTTCAATAACAGCAGATAAAGTGACAGATGATTCTACTAATTCCTTGCCTTAAACAGATCATATTAGCTCTTCAAACATGTCCGAGCTCAGGGCTGGGAGGTGATAAGTGAAAGTGTTGAGCCCATACACATTTAGGTTCCTGTGAAAGTGTGTGTCCGTGTGTGGGGCCATGTGTGTGTGTCTGTGTGTGTGCGCGTGTGTGAGAAAAGGGTGTGTGCGCGTGTCACCTCAACCTGAACAAAACCCATTAGAGCACTCCAGAGCTTTATGACATCCTGCTATTGTGACATTCAACCATTACCTGGCAGTAATGGACTCTGTTCAGCTCATGTCAGCCACAGATAGACACCCATCCACAGTCTGCTGCTTTACTCCTTTAAACTATTTGTTTAATTGTAATAAATCACAGCTGAATCTAAATCACAATTTCAATTAGAAGAATGTCTTCTGCAAAATGTGTTTTTATACAAAAGCCATTTGTTTTGAAATTCATGGAGAAATTAATTGAATCTATTGCTATATATGTCAGGGTACTCTTAAATGTTAATGCTCATGGGTTTAAAATGTGCAGAATTGCATTTTTAAAAACATATTGCAAATCTAATTGGTAAAATATATATATCGCAAATGTAATTGCAATACTAAAAAGAAAAATTCTATAGAAAATTTGGAATTTGTTATTTTTTTCAAAGTTTGTGCAGCGCTAATATTCATGCTCTTCGTTCTCTATTGCATGTACATTATACTGTGAATACACTTTGGTTAGTAAGTGTTCCTCTACAAAATGATATCAAGCTTTAGGGAACACATAATGTTTTTCCAGCTGCCCAAAATAAATTAAAGAAAGATGGTTAATATATTGGATGGGCAGTTTGTGATGAATATTTCTAAAATCCAGTTTACTGTGCAAAAATGCAGAAAATGTGCTATGACAACCACTGAAGGGAAAAGTAAACAAAAATATAAAAATAACTTCTCAATTAATACACATTTTTATAAACCATACCTTGATTTAACATTACTTGTTTGGTACATGCATGATTTGAGCTGATATAATGCTAAAGAGCACATTTGTACAGGGACCAGGGAGAAGGTTATTGATCCCTTGCAGCGCAGAGGCCCACAAGAGACAGCAGGGGGAGCATGGTCAATGAGCAAATCATCCATGGACACACTCACACTCATATGTGCAGTGGAGGAACATAGAGGCATGCACTGTGGAGCTATACCTCCTGGGACCACAGCTTTCATGGTAATACACACAGTGATGGCTTTTTATCCCATAAGTAATGCACTGTACCGTAAGACAATGTCAAAGAAAGATCATGCACCACGATGAGAGGGGAGTTTGCATCATGCTAACGCCAAATGGATTACTTAAACACGACATTTATTATTAGCTGTGATGTGAAATACAGAAGTGGTAACAGCCACATATGAGCACCACTAAACACCTTTTATCGTTTTTCAACAATGCAACAATGCACAAGATACTGCTAGATGTAATTTATAGTTTCCAGTTTAGTTTTTTTCCCATTCTATTTCAGTGGTCATTTAAGCAAACCGGTTGCACTTTGATTTGGCAAGTTTTCCTAATTTTGATGTTAACGCATTCTGAAGATTTTGAGTTCTTTCTGTTCAGATTTCTTACAATATGACCACTTTGGGCTAACATTTTTATTGTTGCAGTATTCACTTCCTCCCAGGCTTCACTCTCCCCAAGCACCCAGCTCCGTCTCAGGGGAGCCTGTCCAGAGTTATGTAGGGACTAGGGAGATCAGGCATAAAGGCAGATGGTGAGGGCTGAGAGACACTGACACAAAGAGGAAACAAGAGAGAGAGATGGACAGAGCAGAGAGAGCAGGGGGGCTGCTGAGTCCACAGGCAGGCCATCTCCACTCAAGTGAAAAAGAACAGTTCAGTGGAGCTGGCCAGCTGAGCTCCGCTACAGTGGAAGCTAACAACTGTAAATGCACTACATTCATGTCAACAGAGCAGAAACAAGTCAAATACACAACAGCACTGCACACCACATACAAGTTTATTTCAAGGATTCAAACTTGGATATCTGTGGGCCTTTCCGGGCATCGCCACAGCAAATCATGCTTCACCATTGTGCAACAAACTGCATAAACAACGATGAATAATGCAGGATGCCATTCAAATTATTTTATTTATCCAGATTTGGAACTGACACAAACTACACTGTGGACTGTCAAGATGCCGGAATCAGTAGAGATTTAACAGTTTATTATTATTATTCATGCTTACACAGCCAAGATAATGCAAATGATCTAACTAGCTAAATCTTTGGCAACCAGTATGAACAGAACATATCAATCAATGTAATTTTTTTCTTAAAACAAAACACCTGAAATTTCTTTTGTATGGAATCATGCTGATAGAAATCCATCTCTCTCATGCTTAATTGACCTAAAAACTTCAGCCCAATTTAGACAACACTCCAAGTTGTCCTATTTAAAGACTGCTCATCATTGCAGATTAAACACTATAGCTTGCAGGCACACATCACAACACAGCCCAGGTGCAGGTTAGTTTACACACAACAGCTAAGCAAATACTCCACCTGCTTTGGAAGATGCGCACTGTCCGGATTACGTCCCATTGTACTTGCTGAGTGCCTTCTCTGCATTCTATACCTCAATACCAAATCCAAAATATTGATTGATGTTTGAGAATGTTTCTTCTTGTTTGCTTGAGTTTTATTCCAAAGCGTTCTTAGGCTGGGATGACAATTTCTCAGCCTCTATCCCTGTATATCTCCCGTGCTGTGCTTTCTCTCTCACTCCCTATCTTCTCTCTATTCTCTCGCCCGCCCCTCGCATCTGCATCTGCCAATTGCAAATGTTCACTTGTGCTTCAGGGCTGAGGGAACAACCTGCATCTATCGCAAGTATTGTGTTGCTAAGATACATCGGGGACAAAGATCAAAGTCAGTCCAAGTATCATAAAATACAGTAGTAGTATGTAATAGTGGTGGTTTCTGTTGTACTCCAGGGTTTCCAGTGATACCAGGTGATATGTGATGACCAGTGGCATATCGGGGCCATTATCAGGCCGCAGCAGGAAACTGGGTCTGGTATCGATCTAGTCAGTTAGCCAAAGCCATGAGCAAGAGCAAGAGGACAAATGTAACAATTAATGTATTATTGTATAGGGTTATGCAGGGCCTTTCCTCATGTGGTACATGTGGATTATACAGAATGCATTATTTGTGACTAAAAGACTCATATCTTCAGAACTGAAGAAACAGCTTGGATGAGCTTTATTCAAAACTTATGTCCAGTTGACGAAATTAATTTCTCCTTTGCCTTTCAGTTCAAAGGTACGCAATGTAACTTTTCTGGTGAAGGGTCCCTCACTGCTTTTCTCCATGGGAATGTTATTGCATTGTCAAGAATATTCCACAAGATGGCATTAAACTTATCTACAGCAGGGGTCTCCAACCTTTTTCCTCCAGTGAGCAGCTTTTACCAAACAAAAATGCCAGAGAGCTACTCATTTTAGCATTTGCAAGAAATTTTGTACATTTAAGCCCCACGACAAGCTTTAGATGGAGTTCAGTTAGATGCCTATGAACTATAAACCATTATCCATTTATTTATTTAGTTAGGCATCAAAATTATACATTTACAATGGCAATTAATACAATTTTAGATATTCAGCACAGTACATATAGTTCAGAAATCCCTTGGTGAGCTACTTGGAAGTGGGTGGAGAGCTACTGGGCGCTCCTGAGCTACAGGTTGGAGACCCCTGATCTACAATATATGCACTGAGACGTCACCAGCTCAAGCATTGGTCATGGTCAGATCTGTGA